ATTTAATAAAAATAATGTTTCATCACGTATTATATTGTTTTATTTTCATAACATCATATAATAATGAATTTTTAAAAATAACTCGAGTTGCACGCAGTTCACAACTTTTTGACCTATGACAGAAATGTGTAGAATCATAATATCTTTCAATTTTAAGAAAGCACTAAACACTAAAATTGAAAAACTCTAAGTTAAAATCGGTTTTTAGAAATATTTTAGCATCTAGCGCCCTCTGTTTGAGCCGGGCCGAACTAAAAATTATGCACCTTGACGGGTATTCTTCTTAGGAACAATTGTTTCATACATGGTCATGACATTCGATGGACATATAAGAAGTTATCTAATAAAGACCGCTCTCTGAAAGAAAAGTTTCCACTGTGCATTCCTGTGATTTTAATAAGGTCTATCGAAGCGTTTGAGAACTCACATGAAGAATCAAAAAGAAGTAAGTAACAAGTGATTATGTTAAATTCTTTTATTTCTTTGCTCTTTTCTTTTTAGCTGAAGATTAAGGACTTGAAATCTGAAGAAAAAGGTCAGTGGTGGTGAGTGGCAAGACAAAAATGAACAACGAAGATGCAACAAAGTACATTGATGATGTTAAACGTTACTTAACAGATGAGATTAATTTTTCTCAAAATGTATTAAATGATGCAAGACGTTATATAAATTCTGATGAAACTGGTTATGAACTAAATCCAAGCATAAGAAAGTTTTGACTGAAAAGGAATCAAAAAATGTTTTTAAAGTTAGTTGTTGGAAACCTAAGCAGCGAATATCTGTGATGTATACTGTAAATGCTAATGGTGAATCATTCAAACCGCAGATTATTGTCAAAAAAGGACTTCGCAAAAATTGATTAAATAATTAATTTCTTCTAATTTTAATGTAGAAATTGGATCAAAAATGGTCATCAGTGCTACACCTTCAGGCTATCAAGTTCAAGAATCAGTTATGACTTATGTTCAGAATCATCTTTTAAATGAATCCTGTATTCTACTTTGTTGACGGACATACAAGTCATTATAATCTTGAATTTCATGTTTGGTGTAGAGCAGATTGAATTCAATGTTGCATAAATTGTAAAAGTAAACCTACACAAATAAACAATCTGCAAAACGTTGAAAATAAAAAATTCAATCCTGATGCTAATATACTCTTGCTTTTGGATTATCTCCTTTACATGCAAGGATTAGCTTTTAATTTACGAAAATATTAGAGATATCTTCATTTCAAGTCAGACCTTCAACAGTGAAGAATAAAAAAGAATGAAAAGAAAAATTCGCGTGACTTCTTCAGAAAGAAGTTAAAGGTAATTCAGTATTTTAAATTGAAGTAGAAGCTAGAAACTGATTCAGAACTTTTAAAGGAAGATTCCACCAGTCATAAACTTCAACTCAATGTATTTAACAGAAAGGAATGATTTAATATTGATGTTCAGTAAGCTTCAAAATCACGAAATTAATTAGGTACCTTAAATTCTATATACCTTTCATTTAAATTCTTAACAAAAAGAATTTGGAAATAACTACAAGGGTCGTGTTCGCAGGTCTGAGTAAGAATTTAAAATCATTTAAATGTTGTAAATCACTAACTATTATTTTCCTTAGAAAATAAAATTCCCTCTCTCATTCACATACGAATTATTATTTGGAACTTAGCGAACAAGACTCATCGCTTGGCAGGCGATAAAAATAAAGGGAGTGATATTGAAAAATTAATTTGTAAGGAAAATTATTATCCTTGGTCAATTCAAATAAAAGCATGGTTGCTAGATCTAAGTAGGTAGGATAATGGGTGGACAACAATAAAAACTGACTTTCAGCATCCGATTCACAGTTGTCAAAAAAGTTTCACATGCTAAGGAAGAAGATCTAAAGTTTATATTTCTTAAGAATTGAGAATAAAACGTTAAATGCTTCTTCCAAAGGAATGAGACTTTACGGAAAATTACAGGAAATGAAATCAAATTCATCGATAGCTTTGATGAAAGATTTCATTTTTCTTAAAGTCCTTACCAGTTGGAATTTGAATCCTTTAAGGCTTATTGAACAGCTTCAAACTTTCATTGAGCAACCGGAGAAGTTGTTGAGATGTCACACCAGCACATGATTTTTGTTGTAAATAGTCACAATGAATTGAATTCTTGCATCTTCATCGCAGTAACCTTAAAATTCATGAGCAAAAAGAATCCTTAGTCAAACAAAATTTTTTTGGTTAGGAACTCAGTTGGAGCTTCTCCTTTCTAAAATGATTCTATATTTATGAAATAGTTTGTGCCTTTAGAGTTATCAAAATGTTCTTGAAATCACAGCAACCTTTGCTTCACATTCTTCATTTTTGAAACTTTTCACTGCACTTTTACTTGAAAAGAACTCGCTTAAAATAAAACATTCTCACTTTTACAAAGTCGTCAATATAAAATAGCAGCGTAATTAAAATAAATAAAATTAATTAATTCAGCTATTTTAAATTATCTATTTAATTTTCAGAATGATGTTAACTTGTCAGATTCAAGAGCTAAACTGAGAATTAAAATTTCTCCCGTATCGTTTTGTACTAAATGAATTCATCTAAGTTTTTAGTACAGAGACAAAGAAATATTCAAGGGGCTCTTTATTGTAAAAAATTTGCCGCCAAAAGCACTAAAAGCACAATTTGTAAGTACAAATGAGAAGCAAGCGGTCTCTATACAGTATTTCTGGCCTTATAATTGTTTGAAACATAGAAAATAATTCTTTGCAGTCACAACTTCTTTATAAACATCAATCACGAAATCTACGATTAGAAACTGTAAGCAGAATAATCACATTTTGCTTTCACATGACAACATTTAGGTGTCGTCTTTGCTCCTATTGGAAAGAAAATTTAGAAGAATAAAAGATCAATGAGGATATCTACAATGAAATTAAAATCATCATTTTATCTGAATGTTGAAAGCCATAGTTAATTCAGTCTTATAAAATAATCTTCTATGTCGAAGAAAGACCCACAGTGGGTCGATATCTTGTCTATGGCATTTGTTGTTTCTTTGTAGGTTTGACTGAATAATGTTGATCTTGACCAATACTAAATCTTATTTCAATTTAGTTACTTTATGCAGTGTTAAGTTTTACCTCAAACCAAACTAAGTAGTTTTATGTAAATAACTTTAATGTTGATATTCCTTTCTGAATGCTGAAAAAGCATCAACAAACCACAGCTAACTTTAATCAACAAGATGAACATTGAGCATCATCTTTCGATTTGAATTATCGAAACTTTTATCATAGTATGGAAGAATAATTACCTATCTTGATGTAGGATGAAAGATTATCATGAGATACGATGAATATGTAAAAAGAAATAACAGACTTTACATCAAGTACAGATATTGCCTTTATACATCATGAATAAAGAATTATAAATTTGTTCACAAATCTTTTGCTTCACAAACATAAGCTTAGAATTGCGTATAGAGTTATCTTATTGTGTCTAAACATTTGACGAAAAAGAAAAAGATTTTTGTTGAATTAGAAGTCACTCTATGAAAATCATTCGGAGGCATGTCTGGGGATAATATAACAATTTTTTTTCTCCTTTTGTAAATGAAAAAATGTTGCTTTATATCATGATGGTAAATTATGATGACGACTCACCACAAAGCAAAAGTTTCATTTACAAAAATTTCTCTATTCATATTAAAACATGTGAGGCAAAGCAACAACATTAAACAAAAAAAAAGTTCCAAATGAACTTTCAACATTTTTTTTGCTGTTTAGTGTTTGTGATTAAAAATGTTATCATTATTCAGAGATTCCAGTTCGTCCTACTCCGGATGATGTGTGGATTTATCATTTTTACCTTACATTTTCACTCTGAGTTCTGATAATAATTAAAATAAAAGGCATACTCGAGATGGTTGCCCGGTCTCTGTATATTAATTTTTAATATTTTTCCACAACGAAAATGAAACAAACATGAAACAATTAGCAAAAATAAAAAAAAACCAAACGAGTTGGATATCCGAGCTAATTTTCTGCTACTTTCTTTACTGCTGAAGCCGGATTTCCTGTCCGATATTATAGTCCTTGCATAATGATTATTATTGCACACACATTCCAAGGTGAAGAAATCTGCTCTAAGAGATTTTATTGTTTATCAAAATACGAGGAAAGCCAAAGAAATAATTCGTATTTAATGCCTTTTTAATGAAACTAAATGAGAAATTAAAAGCTTCGCAAATCAATGCGAAAGCTAAGAGTCTTGAAAATAATTTCTTTTGAACGTAAGTAAAAACTCGCAAGGTACGATGTGATGGTGAAAAGAAGAATTGTTATTGTTTGGCGAACATTAAATGAGAACCTTCAACAATTTTCCCTTTTTTCTAAGGAAATCTTTGGTATTTCATCTGATAATAAGCTGCTCGCTCTATCGCACCGGCAAATGACCCTTCTCAAAAGACTCATTAGCGCCATTTCGGCGGGAAAAAGAAGAAGAAAAGTAAGAAATATATTGAGAAAAATTGCTTTAACACAAAACATATTTTTATGTTTCAGAGTAATAATTTTATGCTTTTTTTCGCCGTTGAAACATTCATCGTGATGGAAAATCTCTCGTTGCTATATTGCACCTGACAAACCCCGGCGACGATCAACCAACACATTTTCACTTTTTAAGCTTCAGCTTAAAATTCATAGAAATTATTTGTTTTCTTGAAGTGCGAGAAAAAGAAAATTTCCGACAAAAATTATTAATTTCCTATTATTATTCATTCGCGTGGCGAGAAGAAAAGCGGAAACAAGTGCTCAAACAATGAGCCGAACGACGAGCGTTGAATGGGGAAACAATTGAAAAGGTGAAAGAATGAGGGAAAAAAAGAAAAGAAAATTCATTTATACACGTGAATTTCCTTTGTTTTCCACCTTTTATCTTTTTCTTCTCTGGCTAATATTTTCCATGTGGTAAATTTCCTCGAAGCATTTGTTATTTAGAAAACACGAAAGAATTAATGATAACGCCACAACGAGAACAAAAGAAGAGAAATCTGTAATGGATAAGACGACGATGAAAGGGAAATGAAGTGGAGAACCAGAAATAATTTCATCTTTTCCTTGTTTTTATAAGCACACTATTAGATACTTTGGCGCCTTAAGCAATGATCTAAATGAACTCACGATTCCAATCTTTAAAGCGTCGTAAAACTATTTCTAGTCTCTAATTAATTCCATTAAATCAAAATTGAATTTTCCAATCTATTTACCAAAGACTTTTATGATCATCCCCGTCTAATGGAGCGTTTAGTTGACACACATTTTCACATTTTCAACACAAGATTTACGAGACTTGTTTTTTTTTCTTCCTTTCTCTCTTACATCGATAGGAAGAAGCATGAAAAAAAAACGAATTTGATTGTGCAATGAGAAATTCGTGTTTTGTTTTAAGTATTTTTCTCTCACATGGAAGGAAAATTCGTTCATTCATTCATTTCATCGATTTGTGTTTCAAGTCACGTTGTCCGTTTTCAACGCATATTATCCAACTCATCATTGTCCATTCGACAAGTTTAATAGTTTGCCCTTTTTTTGCTATGATTTTGATGAAAAACATTCACATGATTTTCAGCGCTCTTCATATGATGTGAGAGCTTTCATCTATAATGGTCATAACGAAAAGAACGTCGCTTTTATTTTATCGATGCAATCCTGTAAGTAAGTAGATATAATAAGTATGTTGAATGATCAACTCGATTAAAGGCACGTGATTGGCCTCAATTTTCTTTTGTTATACAATCCTCATGTTCTTCATTTATTTACAAATTTTTATTGATGTCGTTTACATTTCTCAATATAATTTTCACTAATATTTAATTTTTTAGTATTGACAATAAAGTGTTTCATGTTTTTTAACTTGAAATTTTAACTTAATTCTTTTAGTTTTTTTCTAGACAAAAGCTAATTAAACGAGTATTTCGAGTGAAAGACAAACGCTGTTGCTATGTTGAGTAACATAATACTGAACGAAGATGAAATTATTTGGTGGCTTGATGAATATTCTTCACATTGTCGCATCTCAGGTTCGTCACAATGTAGCTTCACGATGAAGTGATGCGGTTATTAAATATAAGAAAGGCATTTAAATGGAATTAATCAGACTACTTACACGTATCAACGATGAAAGCATTTTATCGAGAAAGTTTCGTGTAAACTCAGCTGTTTCAGCTCCACATGCTTTTTCTACGGCATTTTCACTGCACTTCATGTATTCTTGAAAGGCACTTTAAAAGAAAAAAGAAAAGAATTCATTTTATTAATTATTAATGCACTTGATCAGCATTATTCACCAGCAAACAGTTTTTATTTGAACTTCTCCTTGGTCTACTGTCTCACTAGAGCCATTTCTCAATGAGCTTAATGTAGTTGATTCAAGCGACACAAAATTTGATTGACTCGATTGTTGCCTTTTCATTAAACTAATTTGGACAATTCTCGGTGGATTCATTGTTGTTGTAGTTGTTGATGTTGTTAGAGCGATTGCTGCACTTTTCTGCTCGTTGATTTTTTCCATATTGTGTTTGTAAGATTCCGCACATTTCTCGTATTCTTTCTTAACCTTTCTCATGCATGGCGCGTATCGTAGAAAATCTGCCAAAGGTAAAATAAAAATTATAATTAAACTTCATAAAAATTCGTTGGTTTATTTTATTTTTCCTTCCAAAATTAAAACGATATCAAAATAATAACAGCTAAAGAAAGAATTAAAAAAATCAAGAGAAACTCAAAAAATACAATTTCTGGTGAATTGTATCTGAATCAAATTAAAAATTACGTACGTGCCTTCCTGATACGTTCCTTCCGAGCACAAATCTTTTATCATTTCGTTTGTGCCAAAATAAAGCTTTCTGAAGTGTTCTCTTTCATGTTGACTCATGCAACGTCTTGTATAGCTGCGAATGCATTCCAATCCGGTGTGCAAATCCCTGATAAAAATTTCATTTTATTGAATAAATCACAATTTATATTTATGACTTCGATACTCTTTTTTTTTGTGAATTGAAATATTGTTATACGAATTTTATTTAAACTTCCTTTTAAATTTTAAATGAAGTGATTAAAAGATGAACGAGCAGTTACTGAATAATTAACAGCATAGGTTTCGAAGTCATTTCAATTATTTTTTAATTGTTTTTAATGATTCGATGTTTTACTTCATGTCACAGCATGTAAATTTATCCGATAATCTTATTAAGAAGAAAGGGCTTTTTGTTTAAATTAAGATCATCTTAGTGATTTAGGAAACTCCCAGGCCTTTATCCACACGACAATAGATATTTACTTAAAAGACAAATGTTTTATAATTCTTTGTTTATTTTGTAGATAAAAAAGGTTCTGTTTCTAAAATTCTAGTCTGCTAATCTCTACATAAAATTAGACAACACTTCGATCGAATAATTTGTCAGAAAAGTATTTAAGTAATAAATTAATTAAAACTATTTTAATAATTTAATTACTTTTCTTATAAAATATCAAATTTCCCAATTGAATTCAGCTTATTCCAATTTTAGAGAAAGATTCTTAAAATGAAAACTTTCTTAAGAATTCCTCGCATAAAGTGCGAAAAATAATTGAAATTGAAGAATTTCTGGAAAACTTTTCACCACTTCACAAAGATGAAAATATCAAGAAAAATTAAATTCGAAAAGTTTCTTTTCTTTTCAGATAGTTTCCGTCTGTGAAATTACTCTTTTCTGTTTCCGTTGCTTTACCAGTTCAGGAATTTTATGAAAATATTTTTGCTTTGAAATTTTCCACTAGAGACATAAAAAAAGATTTCCGTGGAAACTTCAATGCTAGCTTATGAAGCCGAGCTACTTACGGACAAACACGATCCAGTTCTTCTTTGTTATCAACGAAATTAAATTCTGATGTTTCTGTTAACGCTCTGATTTGTTTTGAGCATTGAATAAGCTCTTCTTGGCCACATGGAAAGACTTCGTTGGCAATTACGTATTTGCAGAAGAAATAAACTGAGAAGAAAGCGATTAAATTTTGAGTTCGCGATACTAAATTTTATTGCATTCTTTTATAAATTTCGATGATGAAAATCTACCTGCAACTAAAACTCTGTGAACTTTTTTCATTTTTTCAATGTTTCTTTTTAATTCTTTTTTGTTTCACTTTCTTTTATTTATATCATTGCTTTTAAATTTTCACGATTTTCTCGACATTTCACTTCTGTTCTCTTTGATATCACAAAAAAACTCTTTTTATATCCCAAAAAAATTTAAAATCTTATTTTAGATATCAAGCAACACAATAAACGCAAAGGCGGTCGTGAAAAAAATATATGAAACATAAATCAAAATGACATTTATGCTTCTGACTACACGTGATAGGTGGTTTCGCGATATTTTTTTTGAGCTTCCGATGCTGGTGAATGTTGACGAGCAACTAAAAGGAATGAAAAAAGACTTTTGATGCTTTTTCCTTTTTCCGCTTGGAACACAAACAACAGAAAAAGCTCCGTGTTCTCTCACTGAACGATAACTTCGCTATGAGAACGATGAGAGAAAACAGAAACAGAAGCAAATGCAATGCAGTTTCGGGTTCGTATCGTTCGTGAGAGAAAAAGAGTTGAATAATACAAAGAAGAAGAAGAAAGGGTTAAAAAGTTATTTATATATGAAATATCAACAAATAAATTTATCTGATTCAGAATCTTCAAACGGAAATTATTGCTTGATCTCTGATCCGATTTATTGCTTTAAAAATGCATTAATTTATTAATAATTTAATTATTATATTATTTCAATTGATATGTTCTTGTTGCTTTAATTAAATAATATTAAATTGGTGAGAATTCATCTTGATTCTCTGTGATTTCCAAGGATAATCACTAATTAAGAGAATCTCTCATAGATATCTACTAAAATGTGTACAAAGAAAAAGCCATTTGTTAAACTTTTCTTCTAATGCTCAATCAAAAGCTCGTTTCAATTTTCATCTCGTACAAAGTTTTGTGAAAACTGTTTCAAGGGTTCATTAAGTGAGAAATGAAAACTTTTTCACACTCCGGAAAAGTTGAAGTTGTTAAATTTATGATCAAATGGGCGAATATTTACACCAAATAAGGAACTTCCGGAAAAACTATCTTTCACACCCAATTTGCAATGGAAGTGTGGTCGTCTGTTTGAAGCTTTGTTATTATTATTATTATTTTAAATAAATAAAATAAGCTCATGTGGATTTGGAAATTTTTGTAAAATATTTTCATGTTTATTTGTAGCTCATTTTATTATTTTTCAATGTATTTCTCTATTACTATTGCAATGTTCGAGGTTTAAAGTTTATAAATTACATTTCTCTTTTAAAATACAATGACCAATTGGCGCATATTCGCAGATGCATTTCAAACAGTCATTGTTTGTTGTAATGACTTCACCAATTTTATATGATTTTCCATTAAAGACACAACCTTTTGCCTTGTTTTGGGAGAAATGTGGTTTGTAATAACGTGGAATTAAATCGACATCCGATACAGAACGTTTCACAATGACTGATGGTTCATCAACCAATTTTCTTGGAGTTATTCGACTATTGTGCTGATCTTCCATATTTTCTTTTTCCGACGAAACTGTATAGTTTACAAATTGAACTTGTTGTTCCATCGGTGACTGTGATGAAGAGTCTGAAGATGAAGTTTCAGTTGCTGGTTCAACTATAAAAACTTGACCTGCAGTTGTTGTTGGCGCTTGGGTTGATGTCAAAGATTCTGCTTTCGCCACAAATTCTTTCAATGTTGTTAAAAGATTTTCAAAAGCTGTTGGGAAAACAGCAGAAGGTTCAAGAATTGGTGGATCAGCAGCATTTGTAGTACTTGTCATTTCTGTTGCACTTACTGAACTTTCATCTTTTGGAACTGGTGGTGGAATTTCATAAGAAACACTTAAAAGATTTTTAGACGTAGATTCATTTATTGTTGTTGTAGATGGTTCTGTTGTTGTAGTTGATTCAGTTGTTGTAGTTGATTCAGTTGTTGTTGTTGATTCAGTTGATGTTGTTGATTCAGTTGTTGAAGGTTCTGTTGATGATGCTAAAGTTGTTGATTCAACAATTAAAGTTGTTAACTTTTCAGGCAATTCTAATGATCTTGCAATTTCTCTGACTGTCTCCGTCGTCTTTGGAGCTTCTGTGGTTTCTGCAACCGAGGTTGAAGTCTCAGAATCAGTTGATACTTTTGTAACTTGTTCTGTTGTCGTTTCTGTTGACAATTCAGTTGATGAACTTACAACTTCTGTAGAAGTTTCAACCATTTCTTCTTCTTCATCAGTGTCTGTATCAACTTCTTCACCAAATAAATTCTATTTTAAATAGATTGAAATTAATTATCATGATACAAAGAAATATTTATCACTCTTACCATATTCTCATCTTCTTTCTCTTCATCTTCATCGTCTGAATGAGAAATTGTTGTCGTTGAAGTTTCTTGTGTTGTTGTGAGTGTCGTCGTTGATTCGGTTGTGGTTGATGAAGTTGTTTCCTCTGAAGATAATTCTTTCACTGTTTCAGGTGGATTTGTTGTTGTGGTTGATACTTCTGGGGTTGTTGTTGATGCATCATCAAGTTCTAGTGAAACTTTCGGTTGCTCTGTTGTTGTTGTCGTATCAACAATACTCACAATTGAAGCACTAACATCAGCGACTGGTGGAAGGAATGGATCATTGCTAATTGTTGGAACAGGAATTTCTTGAGTTGTTGTAGTTGCTGTAGTTGTTGATGGTTCAACAAATGATTCAGCTGAAGATGCTTCTCTTTGGTTTGATAAGCGAACTTCTGCCAAATATTGTTCGAGATTCTTGGATGGGGTCACAATAAACACATTACTTGGTGTTTGTGTTTCATCATCAACAGCAGCTCGTTTGACAACTTTTTTAACGTATTTTGCTAGAGTATTTTGTATGCAATATGATTTACGATTTAAATGCATGAAATGAGAATTGAACAAAAAAATGAAATAGAAAACGAGAGAAAATATAACTCACGGCATTCCCAATCGACTGGACAACATTTTCCATTGCGAAAAACTGGCAAACATCCACGTTGAACGAATGATTTATATCTTAAGTCGATGTGGCAATTGAACTTGCGACAGTGAGGATTATCGGTGATTGTCGTGTTATCGAAGTCTTTGTTGCAAAGACACTCATAGCAAGGATTTGATTCAGGGATGAACTTTTCTCCTTCACGATATTCTTGTCCAACAAAACATGATGCCAGTGACTTCTTTTCTTCTTCATCTAAATTTTTTGTTTCGTTTATTCATTTTCCGAGTAATTTAAAAATGAAATTACTAACGAAAAACATTAAACTTACCGCAGACTATCGAAGTGGAGCAACATTCATTTAAATCACCATAGATGTTGATGCAACCAGGCACTTTGAAACTCGCCACACCACAATCACTGTTCGTACAGGTGAATTTAGCAGGGGAACTGTCTTCTCTGAAAAATTGATGAATTTTTACAGCATGAATACAGATATATGCATGTACATATCGACATCGACAGTATTTGAAGAAACAGATATCAACCTTGTACAGAAACACGTTTCGGCGCATTTAGTTTTGTCGGTGAAGTTACGTGGCAGAATTTCGCCAATTTTATATTCTCTTCCGCCAAACGAGCACTTGTTGTCATCGAGTGCATTGAAATCGGGACATTCAAAACGTTTTGCACAGCATGAATTTGATCCATAAACAGCCTTGCATCCAAGCTCTTCATACAATTTCAATGGTTTCGCACACTTCTCAATGTTACATTCGATTGGTGCTACATAGAAATAATATGAAATTATAGAAATTAACATTCACAACCTGTTCGATGTCTCATCGTTGAAAATCCTAGAAAAGTTATATGGAAATGGAATAAAAACAAACACCGAATTGAAGTTAAACTAGTTTCGAATGATTTTTATAATAACATTCTTGAAGAATTAGCAGTTGAACTTCTTCTGATTTCTGAGAATTAATTTTAATTCACTAAACATTTATGCGCATAAAATTAATTCGAATTCTGGCTGGTTGAGTCACACTTACAAACCACTGGCTTAGTATAATTTACCAGTCGAGCTTGATTTTTAAATTGCGCGTGGTGAGGAAATCATTTCATTTAACTTTCATTATGTTTTACGACCTTTCTAAGTAGCAAACTTTTTTTTTGTTTTGAACACCGCAGCAGTAATAGAAGAAAAAGAGAAGCTTGAAGTTTAAATGAAATTGCTGACAAGCAACTTCCCATTCACATTAAATGTCTCACCTGACAAAGCAGCTTCAAATAACACTCCAATGACAAAGATTGAAACCTTCAGAATCATCTTTGAATATCTGCTGAGACAATACTTTAGATCTTCTTTTCTTCACGAGACGCGATTTAATGTTACCGTTTTGATCAACAGCCGAAACAGAAGTGAACCAGACTCACTAAAGATGAACATTTGTTTCAAACTTTGATTAACATAACCAACCATATAATAGTCTCAGCTCGGAACCTGTTTGAAGGTCGCAAAAAAATTGTGAATTCAGATTCGGGGTCCAGTTTTGAGCAATTTTTTTTCTTGTACAAATATCTTTTCTGTTGATGTCACTTTCGCTCTCGTTTACAGGTTCATTGTTTTCATTTCGTGCATTAAATAAAATAAAATTCGAACTCAAGTTCTATAGATTAATTATCGATTAAAAGAATTAAACGAGGCCGCACGCACTTCTCGCTTATGACATAATTGTTTATTCGCTTTTTCATATTTTTTTTAAAGAAACTTTAATTTTTTTACTTACAATGTTATGAACAACAATTACTTTAAGCCTCAAGCTCATTGACTCTGTTTTGTGCATTCGGAATGCTTTGATGTTTATTCATCCTTTAACTTTACTATTTATTTTTCATTCTTCTTCTTATGAAGAGCTTCTTAAATAGCTTCGCATAGACCACAAAGTCATTTGTTTTCATCCATTCAAATGTGTCCGAAAATTTACTTGATATTTATTATAGTCGAAATGTGCCAGATTTTAAAGATTTTATGAGTATAATCATGATGGATTTCGAAAAGTTAAGCAGTCGTGAGTCGTGATTGAAGCCTTCATTTAAATATCTATGGCGTGAGACATAGACATAAATTTTTTAAAATATTAAAGGAATGATGGATGGTGATATGTTTTTATTAGCATAATTATGTGCATATTAAAAATAAGGAATAACATTTTACCACCTTTAATTTAAACTTTGTGTGATATTTAAGTTCAAGGAAGTTTTTCAACAGAAGCAACAGCAGCAGCACAAATAACAGATTCATCAATCTTTCCTACTGCTACAGAAGAAACTCTCGTAAAAATGATGAAAAACGAAATGAAGATGAAATAAAACTTATAAACCACTTGATAATTAGTTAAAACATCTCTCGACATCACATCTTGTAGAAAACTTTTAATCTCTGTTGTTGTTAGGAGTTTGGTTAAAAGAAAAGAAAATTCTTTTTTCGTTTTTCTGGCGAGGGTTGAATTTGTTAGTGATGGTACTGTGTCAAGTGTTTTATTTTTTGAGATTAAATCATAAATTTCTTCACCTTTAACATTTTGCAATGTAATCGCACAGAAAAATATTCTGTTGATCATTCATTTCAACAAGCACTTCCAACACACATCGAGCATGTCCTCGTGATGAGAATTTTTATGTGAATTTCTAATTATCAAAAATTTACATTCATCTAAATTGACTTCAGTTAGGTGAAACAAACATGACATGTGAAAATTAAAATGAAAGCCTTGTTGCAATGAATGTTTAAAAAAAGTATCTGAGCGAATCGTAAAATGTTTGTGGATGTGGAAAAACTTTCATTTTATTTTCATCTCGTCCCAAGCATTTTTCTCACCCTTGAATGTGTCGTAACCTTTTAACAAAAATTAATTACGACATCAAGCCTTAGGCTCATGGGTGGTTTCCGTATCATCTCATCCCAAGAAAGAAGAACTTTTTATGCTTTCACCAAAATTTCCAGGGATCACTGAAAAGCACTGCGAAGAAATGAATTTTTGAGTTTTAACGACTTCATTTGAGTATTCATTGAGGGAAAATGAAGAATTGGACGATGAAAACAGAAACAGATGAGGAAAAACTAAACTGACTAACTGTGGCTTTTGTGGCTCGCATTATTAAGCTAATAAAGTGTTTGCCTCAAGCTTTAAACATTTCTTGCTTCAATCGTATGTGTGCTGCTTGTGTGTGTGTGTTTGTGTGAGTAGGATAATTAGAGATATCTGTTAACAGCATGGAAAGTTATGACTCTCCTGGGTGATCCCATTGTATGTGAGAATGTTGTGAATCTTAATGCTTCATAACATAATATTTATTTTTTGAACTTTTTTTTTATTCATTGTTTGTGAAATTTAACCATGCGACGGGGACGCTGAAAGTGGGATGAAGAATGGGTGCGACATGTACACACATAAAAGCGAAAAATGAAGGATTTATGAGTTTAAGTGTAAAGTTATTTCGTTGTTTTTGTCACGCTTTCTGAGCTTTAGAGAGAACATGAATATTTCGATTATTGGTAAAGTTTTTTGATGGCAGTGTTAGACATTCATTTTTTATTTTAAATATTTCGACCATCATCATCGTGTTGATTGAAATGTTTTCGAAAGAAATATAAATAACTATAACTCATATTTATTGATAAATATTTCAGTTTGAAAATTGATTCGAATGATTTTATTAAATTTCTTAACATGTCGATACAACTTCATACGTTTTTTAAATCGAAGCTGATCTCTGATAAGATTTCTTTTGATTGTTTCTTTGAGATTTTATTATTATTATTGAACATAAATAGTTTCATTCGGATGAATGCTTTCAAACCTTTTTTTAAGAGAAGGAAAATTTAATTTATCATCGAAATCAAATAATCTACCAAAAAATAAAATTTTATATTTATCATTGTACGATGTTTCAACATTGCAATTTCAATAATTTTGTGTCAGAGAAACGGAAAAATTATTGTTGTAGTATCTTCAGATCTATAAGAAATATTTCATTCATCGTCTGTTGAACCAATTCATCTCTTTCTATTTTATGGGATATTTAGTGATAGTTCAAGATACATATAATCATAAATGTAAGATCCATCAGACGTCTCAATGCTTGAAATGATTTCACTATTGAATATGCAAAATTATTGATGATACGAAAGATTTCTGAAGTGATATTTGAAGAATTGACACTTTTGATAGATTTAATTGTTACCTTAACTTTTGTAAAAACTCTTTTAAATAATAAATTATTCCATTAAATCTTTTTAAACAAATTAAAATAGAAAATTAGAGAAAACTTTCATAAAATCTCTACGATGTTAAATCTTAATTAAATGAATTAATTTTTCATGTAGAACTCATTAGGAACACGACCTTTATTAAGTCGCTAGAAGTGCTTCGTAGTTAGATATTTTACTCTAATTGACTTTATTGACGTTCTAGTTTAAATTTAAGCTAAACATAGTCCCAAGAATTAAACTCGGGCACATACACCCGATGATAATAATGTGTAAGTAGATTGTTGCGCAATTTTATTTTAATTTGTCACGTAGACCGTCTCTTCGCACGAGTCACACCAAAACATTATTAAGCTGGAAATAATTAATACTTTAACCATCAATAACATTGAAATTAAATTACGTTTCATTAAATTGTTTTATAAAATATTTTTGAATTTAATTCAATTTTTACTTTTTTTTGTTGATGTTTTCAATTTACAATGAGTTTACAATTTTCACAATTTTCACAAAAGAAGATTAAAAAACATTTAGATACATTGAGTTCACGTGTCAAAATCTACGGATAGTTGGATGTTCGTTCACGGTTTCCCCTTTCTCTCTGTCACACGTTGGTTGTCATTTTGGGGTTGAGTCATCGGAGTGTTCCGTCATTCCTTAACCGTCGCCAGATCGTCATCAAAGTTAGTCTTCCTTCCTTGGCTACGTTGCACCTCTCACCTTTTTCGTCATCAAATCACTTCCATTGAAATTTTATTTTCTTTAAACTTTTTTTTTTCTTTTGTCTTTTTTTCATTTTTTTGGTCAAAGTTTCTTTTATGAATGTTTTGTTTTCATTTTTTTTTAATATTCGAGCACAAATGACTTTTTTGCGCTTTACGGTGCCTGAATGAATCACGAGAGAAAGAGAAATCAATGTTGTAAATAATTAAATTCCGTTAGGTATAAGAAGTGTTTCAGCTCAATCATCTTGAATGTGATTTGGGAGCAGCATAATTAAACTAATGAAACTTAAACGTTAAAAAACTTACATGACTAGGATTCATTTGTTTTTAGAGTCTAGATCAATAAAAGACTAATTTAATTAAATTATCTATCATAATATCGGTTAGATAATGAAACTCATCACAGCTGTTAATTATCACATTTTTTCTTCTTCTTTTCTTAATAATTTCTAAGTATTTTGATGATTTGCAATTACATTTCATTTTATTAAAATTATTTATTGATTTAATTTTTTTATTAAATATGTCATGCACTCATAAAAGATTTATCAAATAACAAAAATTGCTTTCGTTTATAATTAAACACTCAACATGAGACAACATCTCAGAAGTAAGAAAATTTCTCGTTTCTGACTCTGAGAGCAAAACTATCACAGATTAAACATATAAAAATATTTACACAAAGTTTTATGGCAGGTTTAAGAAAATAAAGAACAAAAAAAAGATAATAAATATAATAAAAAAAGGTTTTTCATCTTTGGGCTACAAAATAAATTCTTCTTGTTTCTTTTGTTTTAGCTTGAGTTTCAATCTGGATTTCCAAATCTATTAAGTGAGTGGTTTCTCGATTTATAAATTAAGAAAATAAAATGTTTATGAAGAAATGTAAAAAGAAATGATGGAGGTGGAAAAAGAAAGAAAATTTTCTTACATCAAATGAAGTTCCAGCTTGAAAGTGTCATGAGAATTGTACTAATTGAAGTTATATTTCTTTCTTTTCCACCTTCTCCTTGTCACAATAAGAAGAGAAACAAAAAAAAGATGAAAAGAAATTGCAAGTAATCGAGAAACCGTGAAACCCTCAAAAATTAATGTGATTACAATGTTGTAGCATTAAGAAATAAAAAAAGTTAAAAAGTTCACAGTTTTCTTAAGTTTTTTCTTCTTTCCTTTCCAGTTACGAATTCAATTAAAAGCTTTCTAAGCCATTCATTTTTAAGCGTTTCAAACTGCCTATTTTCAATGCTAAATATATAATCTTGAGTGTTCTTGGGTGTTGTTGAGTGTTCAGACTTATTAAGTGTTCATTCTTAATCATCTATCGTCGATTTTTTTAACCCTTTCTTATATCTCTCAAGAGATTTTCGCACAAAATTTGAACAATCTAATCGAGACCGAAAGCATTAGATTATTGAATGATTAAATAATTTTTTGAAAATTCAGCTTCTCTCACACACTGAGAAGAACTTAAATAACTAATTCATTAGTTAAGATTAAAAATTAAATGTGAATATTATAAAACTTAACATTGGAATGAAATAATCAGATTTAATGAACATCTCATTAGTTCACTCCCATTATCAATTAATTAAGTAATTTTGTGTTCTTTTTTCAAGTTAAAAATGAGGAAAGAAAGTTTAAATTCGAATCAACTTCAAAACTAAGAATGGTACCTGTTCTTTAGCCCATGCCTTAGAAGCCTTCGGTTCTTTGATGTATCCACCTAAACGTTTCATTATGGCTGGTCGTTTATTGGCGTCAATATCCTTTCCCTTCTCTTGATTTTTAACGGTCTCTGTGATGAATTGAAAAGAAACAAATCAGTGAAGAAACAAATCTTTTAATTTGATTTCTCACCAGCTCTTTCAATCACTGAACTGCGAACTATGCGAACACGATCATCTTTTGCTTGTGGTTGTGTAATTGAAATTCCATCTAAATTAAATTAAATTTCAATTAAAACTCATTTGAAACACATTAAAGCAGCTTCACTCACCTTTTTGTTTATCATCTGAATTTCCGTCAACTGATTTAAATGTCGCTTTAAACATTGGCTGTGCAATAATTTTAGCTTTCTTCGCGCCATCGTTTTTTTCTTTGTTATTAATTGTGACAACTTTTGATGACGTTTGTGATGATTCAACGGTTGAAGTTGCAGCATTTTCCGGAGATTTCTTCTGTCTACGATCGTTACTTTTGTTGATTGCTGCAGATCTTTTGTCACGTTTTGAGTCTTCTCTATCGTTAAATTTCTTTCTTTGTTTATTATCGTAACGTGAATAATTTTTGTCACTTGAAGTAAACGATTTCGACTTTTCGTAAGTCTTTGATGGAAATGATGATTTGAAAGTGTTTCCTGTCATCTTCTTATTCTCCTGATTTGATGTTGAACTTTTACTTTTAAAACGACCTTCATTCTCCGATTCTTCTTCGTCGTCATCAAGAAAATCTAAATCTTTCTCGTCCAACGTCATCTTTAGTCCATCATCTTCAACTTTTGACGATTCAGCTTCCGAATCAGTTGAAGCAAGAAGTTCATCTTCAATCTCTTGCTCAGTCTTTTGACGAATTTCTTGTCTCTGTGATGTTTTATTTTCATGCTGTTGTGATTTTTCTTTTGGAGATGTCTCATTGATAATTTTATCATCTTCACCTTTCTTCTTTTCTTTCCTTCCATTATTGTTTACATTATCAAATGTTTTTGGCGAGCCTCGTGAAGGTCTCGAATTTAAAGGTCTGCGTTCATTTCCGTGACGATCACGACTAACTCCATTGCCATTAATTTTAAAATTTTGCTCTCGTTTATTTCCTCTCTCGTCGGAATGTTTTGGTGACAAACGCTTTTCTTGAATCTTTAAACGTGAGTTTGGTGAGCGACTCTTTCGTATGAATTTGTTGCTGTATGGTGACTTTGACTTTGATTTCGTTCGCTTTCTTGCAATATGCGAGACTTGCGCTTTATAATATGGTGAGCGACTTCTAGATCGACTTTTTTGATGATATTTGTATGGGGACCTTGATCTTGATCGGCCAGGAGAAAAAGATCGTCGTCTTTGTCTACGCATTGCTTCTGCATTTGCAGCTACAAACCTAAAGATTAAAATAAATATTAAGAGTAATTCTTGATTTAATTTTCTTAATTTATTTACTCTGCACTACGTGGTGATAATCTTGAAGGTGGTGTAGGCTCGAAAGGACTCTTCATCTTGTCCGGTAGCAATGGCATATCTTCGTCAATTGGCATTATAGCATGCATATCTGGTGTGGTTGGAACAAAAGTTGCTGGTTGCGGTATAATTGGGTGATGAACAATAAAGTTTGGATTCAAATGTGGTTGTACAATTGGCATTGGCTGAGGAGTAAATCCTCGAGGCCTGAACGATGGACGTGCAATTATTGGAGGATGATAAGCATTATTATAAACGTTTGGATTTACAGGTGCAAAAGAAAAGTTGGCAGCATGTTGTCCATCATAATTCATATGTCCTTTTTCATTTATGTGATGCCCCAGATGTTCACTGTTAGATTGTGGTGGTCCCTGATGTTGCGTGGGATGATTTTGAACGTAATTTTGGTGATTGGCATTATTCAAATAGTTTTCAAATTTTCGTTTCTCTTTCGATATAAGTGAACTCAAAGCAACTTCGCGTAAAGCTAGAATATCTGGATCGTCTTCGTCAATCTTAAAAAAAGAAAGTAGGAAGAAATTAGTTTTACATAAAAAAAGCGTAAACAACAAGGCGAAAGTAGAAAATTTTACAAATCCTCAAACATTCTTAATTTAATATTTTTGCATTTTATTTTAATGTTTAAATAACTCACGCTATGTTGGGGTTGGTTTGCCATTATTTTAAACAGTTAGAATCAGTAGACTTTACACTAAACACTTAAAATTTTAAGTGAAAATTTTTTTTTGTGATATCTAAAATGGTTTGCGTCTTTGATGTTTGCATCTATTTAAGTAGCGCCACTGGTGGCAAAACGCTGAATTAAAATTGTAAACAATTACTCAAAAAAAAAGATCTTTGAATTCCTTGACCTAACTATTAAAGAAGATTATAAATTAAGTCAAATTCTGTTAAAATATCATAAGATTGTGCCAAAGTATTCATTCATCTTAACAAGAAGTAATTGTGCAAACATACATCTAAAAAAGTTAAACCTGAAAACCGCATTTTGAAATGTCTAGTTCTTCGGATGATTCTGATTATAATGTTGAAGAATACATAAAACCAGACATTATAAGACACACATACAATAATGAAGATTTGATATCAGATCATGAACAAGAAAGTGACTCAAGTCATGATTCAAGTGATAAGGAGACTGATGTGAAAACGGACGAGGAGGAAAATGCAAATTCAATTCAAGAGCATGAAGTTAACAGCTCAAAAATAACATCAGATAAAAGAAAAGAAGTTGCATCAACAAGAACTAATTCAAGATTTATTCTGTATGTTACAAATCTTTCCGGAGAAACTACACGCTCTATGCTTGAAGATTTCTTTGGAGATGCAGGTCAAATTAAGTCAATACGAATCCCAAAAGTCAGATTAGGAAATTTTGCTTTTGTAGAGATGACAGATATTGAGGGCTTTAAGGTAATTTTTAGTTTATTGCTCAAGCCTTAATTCTCACGATACATTTTTCTTCAGGCAGGACTAAAATTTAATGGAAAAGAACTCGACGAGAGAAAAATTCAAGTGTATCCTGGTTCCAAAAATAAAAAGCATGCATCAACTAAATCAAAAAATCTTAAAAGGAAAACGCAACAACAAAACTTAGCTAAACTTAAAATGAGAAAACAAAACATTGAATAAAAAAGTTTAACGATTTTTTTTTTCAAAATCTGTGTTCAGCCGTCGAAACAATTCTGTTTGTGTCTTCACTATAATCTGAAATTTTTGAAAATGTTTTAAACTGCAAAACTGCAATTTGGATTTCATTCCCGTTTTCTTGCAATTGGTTTCCAAATTTATCTTAGAATGCAAAGTTTTTTGGCTGAAGTTTATCCATCAAGCCATTGAAAAATTATAGCATTTTAAATGAATATGCGATAAACAGTCACGTTTATGCGAAATATGCGAATTTTCAGTAGTTTGACACCATCGACTCGGATTGTTTACCTAGGAACTCGAAATTATTTCAAGAAATTATAAATTCTTCATCAATTCAGTTTAATTCATAGAGACGAATCATAATCCGAAGTAGTTTTCGGACAGAACATCAACATAAACATGGAGTTGGATTTTAGTTCTTTTTTAAGTGTTAAATTAAAAGAAAAAAAGATAGATGTTAGCGTTTATCATGGTTATCTGTTGGGAATCATGGAAGACAACCTGGATGAAGCGGAAAAATATGAAATGGTCACTGATATTTTGAATGATTTGTTGGTAAGTTTTCTCATTTCATTTTTCTACCTGAAAACAATTCGCTTTATGATGACACTATAAAATTCCAGGCAGGTACAAACACCGATGATATTGTTAATGCTATTTTTGACAAATGGCATGAAACTCACAGCACTCATTTAAATGAAGCTGAACGAAAACAGGAAGAGGTTGATATCGCAGAACTTCTTAAAACACAAACAAGCATCTCTTTACAAGCTGCTGGTCAGCACAACCGGCAATTGACTGAAGAAGAAAAAAGAATCAAGCAACAAATTTTGGCAAACTACTCCCAATGTTCTGACAAGGAAGAAGAAGATGAAGAATATGCCAAATCAAGCGATGAAGACGATCCAAATCTCGAGAAAAATACGAACAAAGCTGATGTTCAAAAACTTGCACGAGAAAAACGAGAACAAGCGAAAATGGAATCACAACAGAAGAAACTCAAAGATAAAGAAGATCGTGCCAAGCAAAAGGCTTCACGTGAAGATAAGAAAGCCAAGAGACAAACAGCAGCAGCTAAAGGTGAAAGGAAGCGGTGATGGAGTATCGCTGATGACGTTGACGTTTATTAGCTTACAAAATGTTGTTTTGTTTTTGGCTCACAAAAAAATAAAGGAACGAAAATAATATGAATTTAAAGAGAGTACCTGAAAATGTGCCCACATTATGAACATTTTCGGGTGATCTCGAATTAAAAATAACAAAAATTGTTTTTCATAATTAGATTTGTCAACAATGGTCGTCGTTGTTTTTTTTTCTTAATCTTGTGATTAATGTTGTCGACTTCTTAAGTGTTGTAACTTGCAAGACATTAAAATAATAAGTTGACATGACGAACTTTGCTGGAATTTTTATTAATTATTTAACATTTCTCAACAGTCGATTGTTGTAATTTACAACACTTTCAGTTTCGACTTCACTTTAACATTTATATTTCTGTTGCATACAATTTATCGTTCAATCATCCCAAGCGAAAGAAGAAATGAAACAAGAATGTTAAACGGTCAAGCGATGCGCAACATTACCTCAGCTTAGTTGTGACCGCAAAGTTTTCGGTGATTTAATCAAATTCCTTAAGTTATTCACAAAACAATCTTAACAGTTTATTTGAGAGCTCAATGTACGAACAGTTATTGATTCATCAACAATCGATTGCTTGCTTTTTTTTCAGAAAGTTTGTTGAATAATTTGAATCTTTTTCTATAGACATTAAAACTAGATCTCTAACTAAACTTGGGTGCATGCATTCCTTTCACAAAAAAAACTCATAAAAAGGAAGTTAAAATTCATAAGAATGCCATAATCATAACAGAAAGCTTTACTCATTGATTGTTCGAGTTTAAATATTTTTTTTCTTCTAAATTTCAAACATTTTCAGTAGTTTCCATGTGATTAATGTTACAACTAAATCATTTATACATTGAAGCCCGTCATCATATTTCAAATATCAACCAACTCGCTTAGGTTTTGCATAAAAGATTCAAATGCCTATTTCCACACGTTTTTATGTTCACAACCTGACATATATTCGTTTCGCGGTATCTGAATCATAAACGAAGTGTTACAACTTAATATAATAAAGAACATCTGGAAATGGGCAGTAAAATTCTGAAAGAAAGCTTTAAGCTTAACTAAGGTAAAATACGATGTTCGATAAACGAAAGTGATTGAAAAGTGGCTCTACATAAATTATCACATCAACTTTATTTCTTCTCATTTATTAACTATTTTGTATTGAATTATTCATCATTGCGCTTCATCAATCATTTGGAACGTTCTTTGATTCTCTCTTCAGAAATCTTTTTTGATTTGAAACGTGTGATAATAACGGTGTAACGTCACTAATTAATTTACAGCTGATCGGCGAAGGGAACAATCGCTTGGAGAAAATTGAAGCTCGCTTATTAATTTTATTATTTTATTCGTTAGAAAAACACAATCGAAAAATCACTTCACAATAAGCTTTTATTATGTCTTCATGATGAAATCCGACCTTATTATAATTAATTCCATTAATTATGCTGTTTTGAGAATGATGTATGAGAAATCACACGCGCCCAAAACGAGTAATATGAAACGATGGAAGAAAAGCAAAATAAACAAGAAAGATGAGATTTTAAGTCAACATAATTCATCATCATCACCATCATCATCAAAGTTCTTATCTGAAGCTGGCTGCAATTCTTTCAAAAACTGCACGGTATGCTTTAAACAGAACTTTGAGATCAACTGACGGAAAAATCTTAGTCTGATGATGTGAGAAGCAAAGAAATGAAATATAAAAAAAAGTCTGTAAATTGAAAAACGACAGCAGCGCAAAGAACTTGATTTAATACCGTTAAGAAATTATTTATTGTTTCTTTCGTTGCTTCTCGTTCAATTTAAATTTTCAAATTATTTAATTTTCTCTCACTTTAAAGTTCGAACAGAATGGCATTGAGAATGTGGTTGGTATCTAAGTAGATACCAATGTGGGATGTGATCATGTAAGTTAGAAGGGCGTTAATTGAATCTCAAACAAGAAACTTTCAGCTCATGTTGACAGTCTGCGGCAAATTCAGTTCACATTAAGAATCGAATGTAAGTGAAGCCACTTCCGAACAATTTAAATTTGTTGCAAATCAAATGAACCAGAAAATTTTCGCTTGTGAAAAAAACTAAGATACGAACGTAAGAGTGTGGTAAGTGATCGAAGGCGAAGAAGATATTAAACTAGCCGCATTTGGATATCTCTCGTTCGCTCGCGCGCGCTGTCGACGTCTTAAAGAAAATAAACTCTCAAGTAACTTGAGCAGAAGAATTAGTCTTGTCGGAACAGTTAACGTGATCAGACGTTTTCAATTCAAAACTCAAATTCCGCGAAAAAAACATTTAAATTTGTGAACTCGAAAAAATATTTCTACGAAAAATTGTCAAAGACATAAAAGGACAAAAGATTTTAAGAAATGCTAATTTTGAAATAATTCACACAACAAATTTTTCCAGAAGAAACTAACTTGAGAAGCACGAAAGTGAATGAAAATTAAAGTGAGTTACAGGAAAAAAATCGTTTGTCAAACGATCAAGTGATTATCTTTTGAAAATTAAATTAAATTGATGTTTGAACGCATAATAATTGGCGTGATTTAATGAATGAAATATTTTCGACATTCTTTGCTAAATTTTCAATAATGAAAAGGAAATTTCGTAAGAGAATTTTCATAATTCGGGAGTAATTGCTTGTATCTCATCAACATGCAAACAAATTGAGCGGTTTAAGTAATAAATTACGACAAAAATGGTTAATGTTACATTGGAGGAGTCTTTGAAGATCATATAACATTTATGGTAACTTCAAGACTTTGCTACAATTTATGGAAGACTTTCATTGATAAATTGTATAAATCGTTTTAGAAACAATTAACAATAGCATTAAAATTCTCCATGTGATAAAGACCATGATCTTTCATAGCGAATGAGAACATTAATGTCAAGCTCACAAATTTGTTAATCACAATTTTTAAAAGATTTTCCACGAAATAACAAAAATAAATGTGCGCTGAGAGAATGGAGTTCAAGAATTTTACAATTCTTTGATCCGATGAAGTTACGATCGAGGTTAATGATCTTCGTAAGAAACAGCAGCCGCGAATAGAGAAAAAGAAAATTAGTTAGTAAAACCGATTTTCTGCTAAGAAAAAAGACGAGCAAAGCTCATTAGATTTTTATTGTAACAATTGGTTGAATCATCGGGAAAATTTCTTCACAAAATCGTACTTAAGTTCTAGACAAAATGCGTTCAAATCGAAATTATTCCAGTTCATTCAAGACGATAATTTGATTTCTGTAACAGTACACACTTATGCACATAACATATCTAAAAGAATCTCAAGTTCTCTTCTGTTAAAGCTTTGCTTTTTCTTTCTTTAATTTACCATCAATTTTCTTTAATCTATCTTCAATATGTAAGTAAGAAGAAGATGTTGGAAGATTGGTTTTCGAAGAGAATAAAATTCTAGTAAAAGGAAAAAGTTCTTTCGCTGTTACAACATTGTGAGAATGAAAATATAAAAAGCAGCGGTGGCAGAAATAGAAAAGAAAAGATCTAAACGCTGTATCAAACGTTGAACGCGATGAACCTGTTTTTGCGATAATTATCATCATATATAATTTGCTTCTCTTCTTATTTAAGTCACCATCATCTCATCTCATTTCATTTCATCTTTTATCTTGTCGCAATCTATTCTTAGAAAGCGAGAAGCAATCTTGTTATTGATCGAGTTCTATTTTATTCGTATATGGACATTAGTCGATGGATGAATAAAATTACGAGCAAGTGAGAGTTGTGAAGTCTCTTTCTAGAACAACATTTTTTGAATAACTCAAAGGAAGAAGAAACAACTATGGAAAGATCTTTCATCACTTCTTTTTTATTCTTTATTTAAACTTTCTTTTTCTTTCTTCTTCTTTAATTTATCGCGGTCCCGAAAAGATTGAAAGAAATTTTTATTTATTTATTTTTTATGTTCACAAAAGAATGGCGAGAGAGTGAGTACGCGTAAATGATTGGCACGTTTAATGACAGTCGGTGAAATCGCACCAGATTAAGATCATCAATGTTGTGGATTTTCACACGATCTTAAATCAAATAAAGTTAATGGTGATATTTTATCTTTTCTCGATTCTTTTCAAACTGCTTATTTAAATGCTTTGACTCATTCACTGACTGTTAATGATTACTGCTGTAGAAGTACAATGTTTGTAACAATAAACGTTCACGTTCAATCGATGAAACGAAACAGGTACAGAATTTCCATCAAGTAACACAAAAAAAAAGTAGCAAACAAAAATAAAGAATATGACGTTGATGATTATTCCGTTATGTTTGCTAAATAAGTAAACAGCTGAAAAAATGATTGTTTTGTGAATGAACTTCATCTTTTTCTCTTTCTCCTGTTTCGTCAAACTCAAAAGTCAAAAGCATGCAATGATCAGTATTTAAGAGTATCAAGTTGATATTTATGACAAACTACTTATCTACATGTTAAATAAGGAGAAAATTGTTGGGAAACACTGCATGCATGTCTCTTCCATGAATTGTTTGTTAAAGAATTTCAACCATGTGCACGTACAAATTGGAAAAGAAGGTGATGGATGAATTAAGTAGAGCACGCTTTAAAAGATCTTTGAAAATATGCCACCACAACTGTTGGGAAAATGTCAACAATTACCTGCGCCAACTTACAATTGAGAATCTAAAAAGTTTCTCTCGACATTTATAAATTATTTTTGTCTATGAATAATGAGAAGTTTTACTTCAACATTTTTTGTTGCAATGTCCTTCCACTGACATCATTAAACCAAAACAGTTTAATTATTTATGTAATAAATGTTATAAGCGTCAAAGTTTCCGTAAACATTAATATTTCTCATATGGAAGTTATTAAATCAGCAACACATGACTTAATTATTTTCTAATGTTTTAATTAACTCGCATACCAAACAAGAAATTTAATATGACTACTCCCACTTTCACTCACAATGGCAAAGACCGTCATCATCATCAACAATAAGAACAACAACGAGAAAACCTATTTACATTTTTCTCACGAATCGAATGTGATCTTGACGCTGTTGCTGGTTGTCTCGTCATCACCAGAAGATTTACATCATTAAGAAGTCATTTGTAGGTTACTCGACATTCGTTTTGCATTCAATAGCATGTTCATCATAAAAACATAATAAAACTGTTCACATAATGTTATGTTATAATAAAATTAATCTTTTCCGATTTGATGGATGGATGGAAAGAAGCGTGAAAATGACGCAAAATATTTCACATTTCGATGACAATTCCTTTCATTTCTTTTTCATGTTCTAGACGATGAAATTATTAATTGTTTTACTCATTATCTCTACGATGGGATTGACAATCGCCTTTCCAACAACACACGAAGATGAAGAGATGGACGGCGAAAAGTCACGAAAAATTATTGGACAAAGGTGAAATTTAAAAGTTCCATAAAATAATCCGATTAAATTTTATTTTATTTTCTCTTCCCATCACACCTTTAGTGTTGTTACATCTGTCAGTGTGATTATGAATGGCGATGGAGAAGCACCGCACTTCACTGATGCTGTTGGAAAAACAGTTCCTCGTCCATTTGTACCGCCACAAGTTGCGAGCCCAATAAATCTTCTTAATCCAGATCGATATGAGTTTTATACATTTAACGATAGCGGTGAACTTGTTAAAAGGTTGATGACATTGAAAGAGATTCAAAGCATTGTTGCAAATGGTAACGGTGCTGTTATTGGAGATAATGAACCTGAAGCACAGTCTGTATTACTCAATGCAATTCCTATGACGAATCAAGGTGCTGAGACAAATGTCCAAGACATTGTCGACAATGTTCAAAGTGTGTTGAGTCAAGAGATTGAAAATAACAAAAATATTTCGACAATTCCTTCACAACTCTTGGATACACCTGATGTGTCATCGTCTTGGAGTATGATTTTGCCAGCGATATTTGGCAACACAGGAGACGAAATTTTACCACACAAACCAATCAATATGACACCAGAAACTGATATTCTTGATACAACGACAACAAATCTTCCGCCATTGACGAAAACGACGACAGTTAAAGTCACAACAAAAACCACAAAAGCTCCAACTAAAGTGACAGTTCCATTGACGAAAGTTCCAGCAACAACGGCGAAAACGACAACAAAGATAAAGCAAACAGTAAAAGCAAAGCCGAAACCTACAACAACTGTTCGTTTGTCAAGTACAACACCAAAACCAATTGAAACTAAAACATCTACGATGAAGCCTAAAGTAGTGACAACAACAAAGAAAATTATCAGAAAGCCAACAACGATACCATCTAGAGGAAATCCAACAGCTGCTTCACGTCCACACTTAACAAACTCTCCGATTATCATTGAATATATTGATAGGAGACCATCGCATGGTTCCAAACCGGAAGTTATAAAAATAGAATATAAAACTCAACGTGTTACACAAGCACCAAGTACAACTGTGGAAATGAAACCAACAACAATGAAAAAAGTTTCAACAACTTCTACTCCTTTAACGACAACAACCATGAAGACAACAACATCAACGACAACAGAATCGTCAACTACATCATCAACATCGACAACTGATCGATCGTCATTGTCAACTTCCGAAGAAGATCGTCAAGATTTAGCGATAAATCAAATTATTGGTACATTACAAAGTGACTTGTTCAACAGCTATGAAGTGAAACCAACGACTGAAGATATTGCAATGGAAAAAATTGGTGACTTAAATTTAATTCCTGATAAAGTTTTGTTGAATGATCAGTTATTTATCGATGAAGAAGATCCAATTGTTAAAAATTTACCATCGACAACATCAACAACAACTGAAATTCCAATAGTTGAGAATGAAAGTAATGAACCTTTGTATGAGAAACTTGAATTGACGACAATGAAAACAAAGGAAGAAATGTCTGGAAATAGCGAAATCATGACGACGATTGAGAAATTTATTCAGCATCAGACTGATGGAAAAACTAAGAAACCAATTGAGAAACTTGACGTTTTGGGATTCGACGATGACGATGAAACAGAAATTAAATTGAATGAGACATTGGAGAGTAAGAAAACTGTCACACAATCTGAATATGTCACAAAAGCTGCAACTGTTGCTTCAGTTTTGAGTACGAAATATGCTGAAAGACAAACAACACCACCACCAACTGACGATGATGAAGAAAATGATACAACAGTTCCGACTATTTTAAGTGAAGCATTGTCTGATGTCATCAAACTTATGATGAATGAGAAGGAAGAGAAAAAAACATCAACAACTTCGACGACAACATCAAAACCTTCAACAACAACTCAGAAAGATGTTGCAACCGAACCTTCAGAACAAGATCTCAATAAACTCTTGCATCATTATGAAGATTTACAACGCGATCAATTCGATCAACTTGAAGCTTTATCAATGTTGAGTGAGAATGTTGAAACAACAACACAGAAAATTAATGAAGACAAAATTATAACGACGATTTCAGTTCCATCGTCAACTGCTTTACCTGAAATGACTGTCGTGAAAGAAACATCGTCAGTGTCAATAAAGAAAGATGAAACGACTCAAGAAAACAACTCAGAAATGATAACAACGAAAGATGAATCAGAAAAAGTTGTGACCACAACAAATCCACCAGATTCAACATTCACAACTTTCTTCTCAGTTGTTGATGACGACGAAACAACAACTGAAATGGATTTAGGAAAATTCACAACTGTTCAATCTGTCGTAAGTGTAACAGAGAAACGTGTTAGTGACAGAAAAGATGAAACCTACACAACAAATTCGCCATATGAGTCAGAAGAAGAACCAATTGATATTATGTCAGATGTTCTAAATGCAATTGGAATTGCAAGTGATTTGGAAGACGATCCAAGTAATGAAAGATTGAAAAATGTGTATGGAGGTGAGAGTCAAGAAAGTGATGAAGTTGAAAGCGTGATCTCAAGTTTATCATCAACTCTCGATAAGACAATTGTGGCTGATGTGGATACAGATTTCACGTTGACCTCAAAACTAGCATCAAGCTTGATATCTGTCGCTGATACAATCTCCGAAACATTAACTGGAGGAGATGAAGAAAGCGAAGAAATCACAAAAGTGATTCCAACAACATTCTCAACAGTGTCAAAAAATAATGCAGCAACAAAAAATGTTTTAACCACCGAAAAGGTAACAGAAAAATCTGAAGAAATCATGACAACAACGATTAATCCCATGACAGTTAAGGAATTGGAAGAAGCAACAATTGAACCTGAAAGAATTTTGGAAGTTGAAATTCCAACAACAGACTCAATCGAATTGACAACAATTGAAGAAGAGACAACTGAAAAAATTCAAGAGAAAGAACAACAAGTTGTGATAAGGAAAGACAGTTCACTTGAAGAAATTGATTACATTACGCCACCAACTCATACAAGCATGAAACTTCCATTAAGTGAAGGAAACTTTATAAAGATCGACAACATAGAATCTACCAAATTGAGTGGCTTTAAGAACAAAGGTCAAGATATCAATGAACACATCAAACCAATTTATGTTGCAGTCAGAAGTACAACGACAGAAAAGTCAGCAAATTCCTTACCAGCAGCTCCTTCATTAAGCGATGAAGACGTTGAAATGTCAGATGAAATGATAACAGAACGTGTTCCATTAATTGAAGCTACGAAAGTTCCTGATTCTGTTCATCTTTCAAGTAGTGAAGATAATTTGGTTGAAATAAAAGTTCATACAAAGTCACCACCAATCACAACAGTTGTGTCAACGACAGAAGATCGTCCATTGACAACATCAGAACTTTCATGGAACATTCAAGCAATTAAAGAAAATATCAAAAACTCACAACAACAGCCACGTCCACAATCTCCAGTTGTTGACTTAACTGCTTCATCTAAAGAAGCTCTTGGTCTAGCCGCTACTACTGCCAACTTAAACTCAGATCTCAGTGGATTCTCAAAGCTTTGCAATGAACTGGCATTTACCTTCTGGAAATCAATTACAGCTGATGGAATAAGTCAAGCACGAAGTGTCATCATTTCACCATTTGCACTTACATCGATGCTTTCAATGATATTCCTTGGCGCTCGTGGACAAACTTCAGGGGAAATGAATGATTTGTTACGATTGGATGATATGGTGACATTCAATCCCCATGTCGTGTTTCGTAACATTTCGGAATCGATTGAACAGTCAAGAAAGTCAGGAATATCTGCAGCATCATTTGTTCGCGAACTTTACAGTGATCGATCGAAAGGAAAGCTTTTACCTTACTTCAAAGAAAAAGCTCAACAATTCTACGCTGCAAATGTCGAAGAAGTGAATTTTGAAGTCGTAAATGATATCATCAGACGTCGCACGAACTTGCTTGTCAAACGACACACATACAATAAAATCAATGAGTATTTGAAAACCAACAATATTTGGGTCAACGAGCCACTTGCTGCTGTTTCAGCGAATGTTTTCCTGGTGAGTTATCTCGTCGTCATGCTTTTATTTAATGAAACTTTCTAAATAAAACTTTCCAGACTGACTGTACTGGGGCTACAACAAACGATCGTGATGGCGAAATGTTCTTCCAAGTTTCACCAGCAATTCGTCAACGGCGATTAGTTCCAATTCCAGCTGCTGTTTACCGTTCAGGTTTTACAGCTGGGTATGATCCAATTCTTGATGCAACTGCTGTGGCTTTTGGTGATGAACTTCAATCAACTGTCATGGTTATGCCTGGACAACAGGGCAGTTCAATTCCTGGGGATAATCTTGAGAGATTAGAAAGTGCTTTCATGGATTCATCAAATAATGTTTGGGGACGTTTGTTAACAACATTTATGGAAAGACCTGGATTGGAAGTTCAAATTCCACGATTCTCACACCGCTCACTTATCAATGCTACTTTTGCACTTCAACAGATGGGATTAAAAGATATTTTTGATGCCAACAAAGCTGATTTACGAGGCTTAACTGGAGCAAAATCAAACGATCTTTTCTTCTCTGATATGCTTCAAATTAATCAATTTAGTACATGCGGTGAAGATAAGATTGGCGATTCTCATCATATTGAAATTTATCCATCCCCAGCATTAAAACGTGATGTTAATGTCAATGATGATGTTGACGATGTTGAAGAAGAAGATGAAAAACTTGAAGTTGCATCAACAGATAACACGCAATTATTTTACGATCCAATTTATGATTCAAGATATATTAACGTTCCACTCCCACTTCGACCACGACAAGCTCGTCTCCCCGAAAATCCACGATTACGATTTGATCGTCCATTCTTGTATTTCGTCAGACATAATCCAACTGGCATTATACTCTTCATGGGACGATTTAATCCAAGATTATTACCTTAAATTTATAAATTTCAACTTTTAACGCATATCATTGATGCGTCAATTCATTGACTGATTAAATTCCTTGATCTGAAGTCGTTCGCTGATATTTTACGACGATTTTAGATTGACGACTATTTACGATAATTTTATTATTTTTTTATCTTTAATCTTCTTTCTTTCATTATTTTATGAAGTCTCTAATGAATTTACTTATCTGCTTCAATATATTGAGAGTTTGTTAAGTCAGAAATAATTTAATTAATAAGAGTAAAGTATTAAACAAATTAATTTTCTTTTAATTATAATTTTCATATCTAAGTAGGTAGTAAATATTTTATTTAGATAGTGTTAGAGGAGAAGTCTTTGATGAATTCTTCTTGTATTCAAGTTCAATAACAACAATTCCTATTTATAAAAACGAAAACATTTGCATTCCAATTCCGTTCATAATAAAAACGTCTGTTAAATAAAATAAAAATAAAACGAATGAAAAATTGAAGTTTCTTCTTTTTATTCATCTTAAATTAAAAAAATTGTTTACAAGAAAACGAAAAAAAAAATGTTAAAAACTTGCAGAAATGCCAAAAGTTTAACTAAATATTTTTTATAGTATTGGCAGTTACAAAATTTCCATTTCTCGTTCAATCCCGACGAATTTCAATTGTTCTGTTGGCCCGTAACGATAATCAAAGAACAATTCTTCACCAGGTTGAATGATTCGTTTGGCAAAAATTCCAATACGATGATCACCATTCACCATAATCACTTTCGCATAACAATTTGGATTAATTGAGTGATTGGCAAATCGAATTTTATTTCCTTTACGTGTTGCATCAACAACAAAATCATTATTCAAATTGAAAAGGAAACTACAAGCGTATTTGTCGTATACTTTCCCACGACGATCAGCTTCATCTTGCGAGATGATTTCACCGCAATATTCCTGTTAAATATTCAAATGATGATGATGAGTCATTTAAAAGAAAAATGTTACTTACACTAATAAATTCATTCTTTTGTGCTCCGTCTTTAAGAAAGATTCCCCACCCAGCAACATCACTCGGCGCCATTAACAAATGTTTCCTCAATCCACGTTGAACACTTACATTCTTACATGTCATCTTCGCTAAATGAAATTGATGAGCACCACACTGACAAAGATCGGGATCGCATTCACGAACAGCTAAATAACATGAACATTGCTTTGTATTACATTGAGCTTTACAACGACATCCTGGAAAACGATTTGGACATTCTGATGAACAGTTACAATACTTTTCACAATAATTGGAGCTTTCAAAACATGGACAACCATTTCCACATGGCCCAGCATGATCACATGGTGTGTAGTTTGAAACATTGTTCTGATTTGCTTCTTTTCTTGCATTCTTTCGAATGTGCATGTTCCATATTTTTGTATTCGTTTTCTTCTTCTGTTGTTTACGTGGAGGTGAAGCATTCTTTCCCAACTCCAATGGTTCGATATGTTTGAGTTCTTCGAGTGCAAAGTGATAGACTTGTTGACATGTTTTTGTTTGCATTCCACGTGCAATTGCGCAATAATTGTTTAAGAAACAACGATGCAAAACACGAAAGAATGATTGATCAGATCCAGTCCAAATATCGTCTGATTCGATTATTGTATTTGACGCTCCTTCACCTTCAATCTTTATCTCTTTTTTCTCCTCAGATTTACACTTCTTTGAATCTCCTAACGCTTCTTTAACTTCTTCTAATAACATGTAGCATTTGCCACTGCAAGGTTCATCGTTTTGATCAATTTCGGGACCCTTACGCTTTTGCAAGTTTGGTCCAGGATTTGAAGATAAACGATGAGTGAAGCAATCGTATTTTGAGCAACGACGACAGAACAATGTGTGATAAGAATGAAGCGTTTGCTCATAAGAAACTGAGTCAGCATTAGGACCATCAATATTTGGTGTGCAATATTCCGATGGACGATTTGGATCAACACTCTTTGTCAATTCGATATAATTTTGACGTAAATCATCTGGCGTTCCTTTACTTGGAAACATTTCACTGATTGCTAAGAAAAGCTTTTGATTTGGAAACGGCAAGCCATCATTTGGTACATCATTAGAATTTTCAGCTTCTTTTGAGTCAGAGTTGTTGGAATCAGAGTTGGATTCTTCTTTCTTAACGTCTTCACTTTGAATATTTGATTGAAATGGAACTATCGCTTTCACCAACTCGACGAAAAGTTTATCATCAATAAATTCAGCGTCATTGTCGCCATGAACTTTTCCATCATAGTTTTTAATCAATTCATCAATGAATTCAGAGTCTTTGTCAAGAACTTCATCGCCCATGTAAGGAATGTTGTAGAGAACCTTAAAAATATTCAAAAATCAAATTTTTATCTTCTCATGAATGAAAATTTCTTACTGTTTCATCTTCAACCATGAAATTCTGTTGAACTGGAGCCCATGCACACATATTAGGTATAGGGATGACATTTGACAACACATAAGTTGGCACAGATTGTTTAACTCCATCATGACTGGTCACCGTCGCTTTCTTTAAATGATGTTTATGGTCAGGATTATATACATCATCGAGAAATGTGCAGTTTATGTTACTCATTCGTTCTAAAAGTTCATTTGCATTGACCTTGCATTGTTTTCTGTAAATGAATCATGTTAACTCACACCGATACAAAAAATATTGACGGATGCACATTAATGCTTACCGATTATTTGTCCATGTTATGTTAATAATCTCCTTTTCCTGTGATTCTTGCTGTTTTTTCAGTCGTTCATATTCTTGTCTTAGTCTTTTTTTGAATTCAGAACTAATTTTAGTCTTATTTGTTTGCATTTTCTAAATTAAAATTAAATTTAAGGTTTTTGTTTACGGTCGCTTGGAACGGACACCAAACGGGGGTATACACTTATGGCACTTCATGTAGTTGTTTACCCAGTAATTTGCTTTGTTTTCCAGAGAAACTATTATTTCATTGAAAGTTCGATAAATTACAGTGCATTGAATTGGATGAGAGTCTAGTAGATAGATTGTAAAAACTATAAAAGCATTCCGAAAAATTTTAAAGACTTGTTATAACGTTGTGTACGTGACTTCCGTGAAAAAATTTTTTTATTGTTTGATTTTCACTTTCCACTTGAGATATTTCGTCATTTAATTAGTGCTGATAAGAATATGAAATTTTGAATATCTCATAATTGATTCATAAGAGACAAGTATAAAAAGATGTCTAATCCAGATCCAACAAAAGATAATGATATTGCTGTTCTTGAGCCAAACAATGACGCATTAGTGACAATTAATCTCAATAATCAGGCTAGTGCAGTTACATCAACAACAGCAACTTCAACAACTACCACAACAACAACAGCAAATCCATCAAACAATGTAGAAACGAATAGTGAAGATCAAAATTCCAGCATCGGAAGTCAGCGATCTTTAAATAACAGACTGTTTCCATTTCGTTTTAGTCGAGATCTTCTTATCAACAACGTAAATTTAGATGTTTTACTATTTTATATTTCATTCGTTTAGAATATTTCGAAGATGACTGACATAACATATCATTTTATTGAACAGGTGTTTCAAGAAATTCGTCCCTTAGTGCAAAACACGAGTACTGCCAACGCTCCATTTGCATCATGGATGCGCAGTTCCATCCACAGTGTCCACAGTGATGAGCATGCAACTCAAACTGATAGTTCTCGTCCTAATAATAATAATAATAATAATAATGACACTGAAAGTACCACTGGTGACAGTGTCATCATAAATTTGGGATCACCTTCAACATCTGCATATGCAAGACAACATTCAGCTCCTGCCCGCACAACAACTGAATCAGGAAATGATGATATGGGAACATCAAGCACAAATCAATCGAGAACTTCGCTTCAACAACACCAAAGTGCAGATTCATCAAACAGTGGATCAAGCGGATCTGAAAACGATCCAAATGCCGCTGAAAATGCTAACGATTCACTCGCACAAATTCCTGAAGCTCGAGCTTTCATCTATACAGTTTCACGTTATTTTCCCTACGTGTGCATTCTATTTGCAAAAAGTTGTTATGATCATCTTGATGGAATTTTGGATATATTTGCATTATTTGTTGTGTTTGCACACTCAAACTTCACGCTTAAACAAGAGATCACTAAACAAGGCCAACGTCGATATCTGTATCTTATTCGAGAACTTCTTTATATAATAATTGTTGTGACGATTATTGGATTTATATTGGAAAAGAAAGACACATTTATTAGCTTGTTCTTCGCTCCTATCAACTTTCCTGCCGAGGATAAAACACTTGCTTTAAAGGATCTTCTATTCAGTGTTTGCATTACTGACCTCATTTTAAAACTTGTTACTGTCGCTATTAAAATTCTTTTCACAATGTTGCCAAGAAGAGTTGTTGAGTTTAAAAATCGAGTAAGTTTAAAACATTCTTAACTTAAAATCATTCAAAATTCATTCCTTCCTTTTTTCAGGGACGAGTTTATTTGTTGATTGAAGCTATTTCACAACTATATCGAGCACTTGTTCCAATACAGCTGTGGTATGTTCGAGCATCATAAATTTTTATTATTGTAAAACCTCATTTCTCTATGAATTTAGGTTGATGTATTTATTGGAGTCATACAAAGGAACAGAGAAAATTATGGGAGTTATATTGTCAGCTGCTTATATAGTTGCTAAAGGGTCAGATATACTGCAAAGAGTAAAGTTCTTGAAACGATCGTTTATCAAATTCCTTCAGAAAACGGTAGATTAAATTTGTTATTTATTTCAATTCAATTCTCTCAAAATCATTTTTTCTTCCAACAAAGTCATTTGGAACGATGGCAACAAAGGAACAAATTCAAGCCGCTGGTGGAACTTGTCCCATTTGTCACGATAATTATCAAGATCCTGTAATCTTAAATGAATGTAATCATATTTTCTGTGAACTTTGCCTTCTTGGATGGTTGGATCGGGAGAATAACACTTGTCCTTTGTGTCGTGCAAAGATTGATCAAGATAATCCAGGATATCGAGACGGTTCAACAACTTTCTTCATTCAATTTTACTAAAAAGCACTTTTGAAGCACTCTTATTAATAATATTATGGAAATGAAGCTTTCAATATGGATAGGAAATGATGAATAGAATTTTGTAATTTCTGGTCACTTTGTTTTGATGATATAGAATTATGATGGATTGAAAAACGCTTCTGTTAAATAAAAAATTGTCCGCATTTAAATTTGATAATTTACAAAAAAGTTAATAAAAAAAGAAAACATTGTGATGTTTAACAAAGCACTTAAGAGAAATAAAAAATAGGTATTTATAAAGTTGAAAAGATCGCTTTTTAACGGAAAAAATTCAAATCAAAGATCCAAAGAGGGAAGCGAAATAATTTTCAAAGTTTGACCGTTATTTAAGGATTCATCCTAAGTCGCGCGTAAATTATTTAGCAATTTCAGAAGTCCATGAAATTTAAACATTAAAGGAGAAAAACAGACATCAATATTATGACTGCTTTCAATTTAACTGGAGTAAGTGATGCTATAAAAGATCTTATAGACGAAGACGGAGTTAACTTTGCCGGTTTAGCTGCAAAATGGGAAAGCGCAAACGATGGTAAGTTTCAATGTAAACAAAAAACAATGTGGAAATTATGTTTTACAATAATCTATAATTTACAGTAAAAGATCTTATCAAAGCGATAAATGAGTGCAAGAAGTTAAACTTTCTCAACTTAGAAGGAAATACTCTTGGCTGCGAAGCTGCAAAACTAATCGGTGAAGCTCTAAAGAAACATCCAGAATTTAAACGAGCTTTATGGAAGGATATGTTTACTGGCAGAATGAAAACAGAAATTCCACCAGCTCTTATTGATTTATCGAATGGAGTTATGCATGCAAATGCTCAACTAACAGTTCTCGACTTATCTGATAATGCTTTGGGTCCTAATGGAATGACTGGTTTAGAGGAATTAATTAAGAGTCCTTCATGTTATTCCCTCAAAGAACTTCGCTTAATGAATTGTGGATTGGGAATAACTGGAGCTAAAATGCTTGCTAAAGCACTCACTCACTGCTACAAGAAGAGTGTTATAAATGGAACACCATTACAGCTTCGTGTTTTCGCTGCTGGACGTAATCGCTTGGAAAATGAAGGAGCAAAAGCATTGTCAGCTATTTTCAAAGAAATTCAGACACTTGAAGAAATCACAATACCACAAAATGGAATTTATCATCCTGGAATGTCGGCACTTTCAGAAGCTTTGAAAATGAACACGAAAATGCAAGTAATCAACTTCAATGACAACACGATAACAGCAAAAGGTGCAGAACCACTAGCTGAAGCACTTTATGCTATTGAGACACTCCGTGAAATAAATTTGGGCGATTGTTTGTTGAAAGATGAGGGAGGTCAAATATTAAGTGACGTCATTGCTGATTGTCATCCAAATCTTGAATATTTGAATCTAAGTGGAAATGAGATTGGTCCTGATGTTGGCTGTGCCATTGCTAATGCAATGGGACATAAAGAAAGTCTTTATCAATTAATCTTGGATTGTAATCAATTTGGTGAAGATGGAGTTGAAACGATTTCTGAAATTATGGAAGGATTTGGTAAACTCGATGCTTTATCGATTGAAGATGACGAAGGAGAAGCTGAAGAAGATGATGAAGATGATGGTAAGTCATGTTTAAGTTTTAAGTCAACAATTTAATTTATTTATTTCCTTTATACAGAAGAATATCGAGATGATGAACAAGGAGAGGAAGAGGAAGAAGAAGATCATGAAGCTTATTCAGACAACGAATCTGGTGGAGAAAACGACTGCATCATCACGAACACATCTTCTAACTTCAGTCAAAATAACTTTGAAACTTCACTCGACAACAGCGTTTTACTCAACACGAGTTCATCGAATGATGATCCAGTCGTCACATTTTATAACAGTAATGTTCCAACCATTGAAAAGTTTAATGAAATCAAAGACGAAGATAAATTGAAATCTTTTAAGAATGTTTTGTCGAATGCTTCTGTTGGTGATGATTACTTAACTCATTTAGTTTTCGCAATTCTTAAACTTTCATCCATTGGAGAGGAATCAGAGGAAGCTAAAACAATTGCACAAGAATTATATAAAGAAGCTTTTGAATATGGAAAGAACAAAGATCGCGTAAGTTTATTTATTTTTTATTCAACTCATCATGTTTTTAACTTTTTTCCATCTGTACAGATCAAAAGCATTCGAAACTTTTTCCTCATCCAACTTGGACTCCTTAAATCTGAGGAGAAAGAATTTTCACCAAAGTACAACATGAAATCATGTCGATCAGCACTCGCCAATGCTATCAAAGAAAATTCACTTCCCGATGATGAAAAATCGATCTTTGAACATTTCTTGAACGCAACAAAATAATTTATATTTGCATGTCTTTTCTCATTTCCCTTTCTTTTTATTATCCAACATTGTTGACTTAATAAAAATACAATTTCATTCTCAAACTAAATAGGTATTATCTAAGTAGTTATTGACAATTGAAAAAAAATTCGTTAAATTTCTCTTATTGCAGATTTTTTATGATGTTTAACATTTGGCTAATGGAAAAATATCTACTTTGTTCTATTTTCGGATGATTCTCAAATGGTTTTTGTTGTTACTACATAAAATTATGCTTTCAGTATGTGTCAACTTGTTTTTGAATGATTAAATGATTTATCAAAATTATCTACGACAAGAGGAAAAATATTTGATACAATATTCACAATTTTTCCAAGTATTCACATACTTTTGAGATCCTGAATTGTTTTTATCATGATTTTTTTTAAAGAATGAAGAAAAACAATTTTTAATTTCATTTCTTCTTCAACAATTTTTTTGTTGTTCAAGGTTGTGAATTTATTTAATATTTTATTTCGGATTTCTTTTTACTTTCAATGGCCATATTTTTGTCTTTTTATACACTTAATGGATTATTTTACTCTTTCTGAGAAATCAATTTACTTTCCGGAATAATGATCAATATTTTAGTATTTCAAGTGTAGATATTTAAATATGTTTTTTTTTCGTATCCCTCAAATATCACTTATCTAAATATTTCCTTATTAACTCTTTGTTATTGTCATCAAATCTTATTAAATGACTGACAGCAATTCTTAATCAATTTAGCTAAGCCACACGCAAACCACCATTCCATTTAAAGTCTTATCATTTACCCTGCGGCACGCAATTAATTATCTTTAATGATTTAGTCTTGATGTACAAAAGAAAATTATTTAAGCCTCAATTGTATGTAAATTTCTAATCAATTCGTTTAATATATCAACAAAACTGTTCGATTTTACTTAAATTTATTTACGTAACTAATTGAAGAAAAAAAGTTTGTGAAGCAACAAATTTTATTTAAGAATTAAAAAAATATTTCACAAGAAAAAAATTCTTAAAAATAATCTTGCAATAAACCAAGGTAAAGTAAATATTTAAAAAGAATATGAAATTAAATTAAATAAATCTTGCTATCTATTAAAATAATAAAATCACTGGATGTAGCATCCAAAGTAGGCAAACGACACATCAACATGAGTGAACGAAAAGTGTTGAAATAAAAGATTTGCAAATAAAGCCAATACAGAAAATAAATTTAGTCAGTAGTTTTAGAAGAAAAACTAATAAGTTTAGAAAAGAGAAAACTTAAATAATATCAATATTTTTAACTAACGATGATGGGACTTTTGTGAGTTTAAATCTTACAAATGAAATAAAGATTGAATTTAATTTCCATCCGTTTCTTTTGAATTCTCAAAGCTTTGAGATGAAGTGATGAAACTCTTTGTTAACTTTTTTTTATCTTCTCGTCAACATTTCTTATCTCCAAATTAAGGACACGCGACAAACTTTTCTCATAACGAAGTTTCTTTCACTTAATTTGATGATTGCTTGTTCTATTTTCTTTTCTTCGATAAATGCTTTTTAAAATAAAATTTAAGGTTGTTAGTCATGTAAGATGTTTCATTGAAATTCTATACATGAACGTTTCCTTTCGTTAAAAGTTTAAAAAAAGGAAAAGAACTTTAAAATGAAGAAATGACTGAGAATTTAGATTCCACCAACGGCATTTAACAGAAATTCACTAGTTGTAGTTAATAAATCAGCCGTTTCTCTATCCCGACCTTCATACTCATGTCCAATAGCTCGTAAGAATGCAAATGCACCTAAAAGAAGACTTGATCCGAGGAAGTCACCAAGTGCCGTCAGGTATGGAATTGATGCTGTATCGGGATCAACTTTGAATCGCCACAATCCATGAACTAACACATGGGCGATATAGAGCAAGGTTAGCACCTGTGATCAAGAAAAATAAATTAATAATGATTTTCGATATTTTAAGATTGAATAATTTACCTGAATTAAGCTAGCAGTCAAATATGAAAAGACAAATGGAGCACCGATCGTTACATTTCCTAAGTGATGAATAAAATCAGCAACATATATGAACAACACTTGTCCAGGAATCGACATTAATATCAGAATCCTTGCGGTATTAGCATAAGGTGTGCCATAGAAAAGGGTGCGCCAAGGATACTCAACAATCTTTGTGAATGGAGGAATAATGCCCGGAAGTGAACTTTGATAAAGCATTGTTGAGATTTTGCTGGCTTGTACTGAGACAAGATTTCCACCGATTCCATTAATGATCGGCGAGAAAACCACAAAACCTGAAAAGTCGTCTTGTGCTCGTTGCAAAACTAAGCCACTCAAACTGTTAAGAAAATGTTTGTCAAATTTTTGATGATATGTCAGTAGATTAATTAACTTACCCGCTGATCATCAAAGCTGACAATACTGGAACCCATCCACTCTTCAATACTGGTCGTGTGTAGCGATTACGTAATACGAGAATTACCCAGAATGGCAATATTACAAAATAAGTACCAATAACGACGTATGTCACCCAAATGTGTGTCTCTGTGAAAGAAAACTTCTTTATAAATATTTATCTGAATCCAACTGTTCAAATTCTACTCACTCATGTTTACAAACAATACTGATGTGATAAAGCTGAGTAAAGCAATTGTCACGACATCACCAATGGAAGCAGCTAAAGGTGTTGCCATGTTATCTGGATTGACGTTGAATTTGGTTGTGAGTATAATAACGGCCACTAACACGAAATCTGAAATTAATTAAATTTATTGTCGGTGAAATTAAAAATGGTTTATTTGCACTTTCAAAATGTCATCGATAAGCTTGCATAGATAAGAATGTTCAATCAAATTGTTATTAATTAATTACAAGTAAAATCACAGTTAAATATTAAATCAATTCAAACGAACAATCTTAAGATAAGAAAAATCTAATTTAATTCCATTTAATTTTGTTGTTCAATTGAAATAATAAAGTTGAACTTGAAATTAAACAATTCTCAGATATCAAAACTTTTGAGGATCAATGCCAAAGCTGTGCTTGACGACCTTGTCTAGTTTTATCAAAGTTCAGATTAATTGTATCAAACTCACCTAACACAAAACACGATGTCGTTGCTGTGAACATAGCTGACGCTGTCAATAAAAAGGCATGATCCCAACTGAACGCTGGTTCTGTTGTAAGAATACCAACTGACACAGAAAACACCGACACAATAAATGCTGCCACAGTTGCTTGTACTTGTACAAGAGAAATGTTACCAACTACCATGTGCAAAAGTTCTTTTTTAGACTCCATGTTGCCAAGATTAGCTTGAGTTGATAAGCGAGATGCAAGACACATGTCAAGGTTTCCTTTCAAGCCAAGAAGTGCTGGTACAAGAATGAATAATTCAGGAATTGCTGTGAATACTTCCCATGTCTAAAATGTTAAGAATAAATTGAATTCAATTAACTTACGATTAAATTTTTAAAAATCGACTAGACTAGAAATGAATTAAGAGTCTTTAAAGACGTCAGATATCAATAAATGACACCAAAAATTAATCTATTATCTTTGAACCATCGAAATTTGTTTTCGTCATATGCGTGTTTATCAGACCATCACTTTCTAGAGCGTTTATGATAATTTTAACTTTCAACAGGAAGATAACAAAGAACTAAAGATTGGGGGATTATAAGTTTCTATAAGCATTTTAAACCTTATCTTAAAAGATTAAATGCAAATTGATCAGGCTTTGGCATTTTGAGAATTTTCGAGAGATATTAAACTTTTATCTATTTATCTCTATATTCAAGAATGACTTTTAATGAAGTTTTTTTTTCGAGAGGGCTTGTCATTATCTAAACTAAAAATGCGTATTTGAAATAAAAAGATTAAATAAAAATTATTTAATCTAAATTTAAGTGTTTGGATTAAATTTTACCAAGCAACATTATGAGAATAACTTTTGTATGTGAAATTATAAATTTTCATTCTCAAATTAAAAGTAAATTGATTAATCAATTGAATTGCTATGTGTAACGTTCATATCGAAAATTATTAACAAAAAAGTAATTTTTATATTTAGCAAACGTCTACAAATCATTTATTTGCATGGACAATATAAATTTAATGACATCGATTCACATTGCCCGCTATTATTTCCACTTGATATGACTAATTTAATTGAACGGTATCACGCACTTTATTAAAAAAGTCAAAATCTAATCATCACTTCCGCATGTCAACTCACCTCGACAATTCCTAAAATTATCCCTGCTCCAATCGTCCCAATACCAGCAAGGAAGAAAGGAATTGAAACTTGAATTGTTGTTTGCCACCATTTTTCTGTTGTCATTCCTACAGTTTCACGCTTGTCTCCTTTTCCATCTTCATCGCCACTCCCTCCGCCGCCTGGTTCAGAGGCTAAAGAAGTTGTGGTGATTGAACTTAGTGAGCCGGTAGTTGATTGTGGTAGCGCATTAAGTTTATCGTCATTTCCTGAATAAGAAAAAATTTAATTCAAACAATTAGATTGATGTTTCACCATGCTTAACCTAAATTATCTCTAAAAAAGTTTAACAAATATACAAATTTGAGCTTTACTACAGTTTCAGCTCTCTAAAGAGTCATTTAGAAGTTAATGAATTGCAAAAAATCGCAAAAATAATGTATGACGGTCGTCTGACGTCATCATTATTTACAATTTACAGAAAAGCTATGAAATTGGGCAATTATATAACAATTGATTCGTTTCTTTTGTTTTATAAATAGCAAAAATTTACCGTTTGGCTTATTAAAATTGAAATTGTCGTGGCATAAAAATCAGAAGAATCGAATAAAATTTTCACCCTTAGCGTGAAATTTCTTATTAATTAACCACATTGACACCTTAGACAACCAATAAATTTCTTTAAAATAATTTTAGGCTTCCAGGGTATTCTAAAATATTATTTATGTTTGTTTAATACATATTTATGAGCAACAAAGAACATAAGCATGAACATGATAACTTTCTTCTGAAGGAGACAATTCCCATAAAGCCATAATCTTTATTTATTTGCTTAATTGACAACCGATGAAATATTTAAATCCTTCTCATGCAATTTTTGATTGTTTTCTGACATGCATTGGTTGAATAGAATGATATTAAATGAACATAAACAGAACATGATATGAGATGTAAATGTATTTGATTTGTGAAATAAACGAGAAAATATTAAAATCAAAGTCGTCGATGTTCATCATTTCTATTGGAATTTCAACAGCACGATATTTATGTAAGAGAGTTTCTGATCTCACAACGATAATACCTGATATATGTCCATACATTGTATTATAAGTAATTAAATATTATAAAAACTTATTCATATCTTAGATGTATGTGCATCTCTCCAGAGACTAATTAATTTTAAAAACCTTACAACATGTCTAATTGGATGTTCTCCCAATTATTTTGATTACGCTTCAATAATTCAAATTTCTAAACAAAAAATACTTTTCCAGTAAAATGTCATGACAATTTCGTATAAAAGTATGTGAATTTCAGTAAATAATTAGATGAAGAATTTCGCTTCAAATCATGTGAATTCAATTAAAAGATTATTTATTTTGTTGGTTCATAAATCAAGCAAGATATAACTGGTGACACAGTCAGATTTAAAAAAGAAATTGATAACATTTTTATTTGATTTTAATGCATGGGTAACAACCAAAATTAGAATTGACAAATTAACGTTGAACAAATTTAATTGCTATGTTTGTTTTTATTATTTCTCGTGGGCGATATTCGACGTAAATTGAATTAATAGGAATTACCTAGGAGTTAGTATAATAAAAATCACGGCGGTATCGTCAATTCTTGACATTTATTGTTAAGTGAATAAAGCGCCATTAGCTTTCATAATATTTCAATCTGAAGCTTCATATCTTATCAAGGTCATAAAAATCCCTGAGATTGATTCTTTTTTGAACAGTGCTACCATAAAAAAAAGAGAACTTGAAATTTGCGAGTCTGAAAATGATGAAAAATGAAGGCAGACGATTAAAAATTTCATACATTTACCATGGTACGTAACTTTTAATTCGCTCTTAAAAGTACTTCAATGAAGAGCTTTTCAGTTTAATTTTGTGTGGGGTTGATCGAAATTATGTGATAAATAAATGTTTAAGGCAAAAAGATCTTAAAATAACATGCTAAGAATATTTTCCCGAGAATTTTAATTGAATTTTCTTATTTCCTAGCAAAGAGAAAAAAATAAATTCTCAGCCCAACATTAAGTTTAATGTACGAATGTCTTAATAATAATTTAGCAAGCAATTATAAATAATGGACCATAAAACCTGTGTAGCAAAAAATAGCGTGGGAGGGAAACTCACCGGGATTTCCGTAAATGGTATAGGGCTCATATTTGTCGTCACTTTTATATTGACCTGGAATACTTCCAGTGTCAGTCTTAGCATCGATAATGGAATCGGGCAATTCCTTCTTTTTGGAGTTACCGTTGAAGATGGAATTATTATTGAGCTCGTTTATCATATTAATGTTTGTCATTTTTTATGTTTCTTTATGTTATTTCGGAGTGTTGAATTTTTAATAATAAATTAATTAATTACTTAAGAAAAACAAGTAAAGCTGCTGTTGTCATTAAAAAATGTTAGATGAGCTTTCAAAGTTTATTCGCGAGGATCAAATTACTTAAAGATGCTATGAGGGTAGACAAACTTAATTAAACTAAAATGGAATTAACGTCGTGGTTTTTTATCACTTATCTAATCACTTTGAATTCGAACTTAATTTATTTTCTTTTTTTACGTTCGTCTGTTCTTTAATTAATGTTTTGTTTTGTTTTTTTTTTCCTTTGGATTAAAATTAAAACTTGACAAAGGTTATTTCATTTCTACTAAGATCACAAGATTTCCTTTTTAACTTTTTAGAAGCCAATTAAACTTTTCTCTCTGGATGATATTGGAGTTGTAACTTTCCTCAGCTTCAAACTTTCAACAAGTAACTGATTCATGAGTGTGTGGTTTAATTTCTTTTGTTTGTTCTTTCTTTTTTGGCATGAATTGGTTAGTTTGATTGGTTCTTTAATTATTATTCTGATGTTTCAACGAACTCAAACTGCAAAATGTTCAAAAAGAAAACGAAGGGATTAGTAATTCGAAGGAGACAAAAATAAAAAAAAGGTAAAAATTCATTTCAGCTCAGTCGATCTGCTCATTTTATGTTTTAAAAATTATTTTAAAAATTAACTCATTTAAAGCAAAAAAAAAACTTTGTGAGTCAAGTCAGTGAAAGTTTTTATTTCGTGAGTAAATAGGTGAAGAAATATTCACGATTACGACAAAAATTAAAGAGTTGCAACTTGCAAGGTCACGTTACATATTTTAACTTGAACTTTTTATCTTGATAATATTTAATTTCACTTTATTTAAAAATATCAAGCACACATTTAATGAGAAAATTTTTCTTGTTGCCTTTGAACTTGGAATTTTTGTTCTTGGCGGAATTTCACATGTTTTAGCTTGTGATTAAAAATTGCTAAATTTACTATTTTGTTCAATAAATTTTCCTCGTGCATTTTCACTCTTTTAACGATAAAGAAATTTTCATTTCACATTTGGGAAGAGCGCGAATATGCGCAATGTAACTCACTTCACTGTCAGTAAATAAATGAAGGGAAAAACTTCATAATTATTTTTAAAAATATTCTTCTTTTCTAGTGAATTCAAAATATTTGTTCCGCACAGCGTAAGACTGAACAAGCAAATGATTTCCAATGGCTGGAGTCGTTTTAAGTTAGACTGTGAAAAATAAAAGCGTCGAGCTTAAATTGTAGTTTTATGAAAACAGCAGAGAGGCGGCAGGAAAAATCCCCAGCTCATGGTCGTAATGTAAATCACAAAAACCGCGATTCCATTCTGTTTATAAGTTATTTTATATTTTTTTTGTTTTATTGGTTGATTCACTAACATTTATTATTCTGTTAGAATATAAAACATATTTAAAACTACTTTGCAGAATTTAAAGTTCATTAAAAATTGTCCAAAATGTTCAAACACTCAAAAGTGTCCTCGTTTGTTATTTAAACAAATTAAAATTTGCGAAAATCATCCAAAGTTAATTTCCATTCATCAAAAAAGTTTTAAAAAATCACTTAAATCTTACAATTATTTTTTCCTTTCTTGATGTTTTAATTATTTTTCTTTTAGAATGTTTATTCGCCAAATGTTTTGTTCAAACTAAGTGCTATCAATATCGTGTCAGATATATTTAAGTAAGTCTCCCATAGTAGAAATAAGGTAGCAAAAATCTGATGATAAAATATAATGAGTATGAAAGGCAGTAGCGATAAGAACGTTGATGTCACTAATTACTTGAGTCTCAGCGATTTGCTTTTGTTGTGAATAAGAAGTTTTATCTTTATATTTATGATTATAAAAATGTGATCCCAAACTGATTTTGTGATAAACAACATGATAATAGTTCTTAATTGATTTTTTTTGAATAAAATGATTCACGAGAATAATATCAAAATGAGTCACAGATAAATTTTTTAATATTACAGACAAGTCATCTTCAAACAGACAAATAACTCAAACACACAAAATATTTTTAAATTTTCCCTTACGTTTTCTTCCAGTTCGGCGTTTTCGAGGCATTTCAAAAGCTTATTAGTGCAGTAATTTGCTTCCGTTCAGCTGTTTAATGCTTTCCTTGTATTTAGTCTTAGCTTCAAAGCCGTTGAGTTACGAAATATTTATAATTCTCTCCTTGGCCCTTTAACTAAATATTTACCAGTCGAATGTCAATAATTGATTCTTATAAGAAAATCATTCTAATCCACTTTTTACCTAAATTTTTCGATAATAAGATTTCGACACATTTGAGTGTTAAATTATCATGTAGATGTCTCTATATGAGTTCGGTTATTCGCTTGAAAGTGATTACTTATTTCAATTTTAAATTATAAATTTCCCGGTAAAGTCACGTGTTTAAAATAGCAGCAAAAAGAAAAATTTAAAATTTTGATGACAAATCTCAAATGAGAAAATTGAAATGATTTTAGATTTAGATGGAGAAGTTCAGAACAAAAAGAGTTAGTGTTAACATAGAACTGATTTTGTTTTATCGAATTAACAATTTAAACTTGTCAGAAAGAGTCTTCGAGGCTACTTTTTACTACGTGATTTAATTTGAATGTGAAATAGTTTGGTTTCCGCAAACATCAGAGATCTGAATGAACAAAATAAATGACGATGTTCGTATCTATGGACTAAGCAACGAACTGCAGGTTTATTTTTGTTTGTGCATGTTGAAGTACATGCCATTATTGAATACCTTAACTGAATATTGCAAATTTATTTAATTAAAAACGTGAATTTATTCCAACTTCAAATGAATCATCCATTGTTTATTGAAATATTTGACTGTCATTATTCTCACTGTAAGAATTAGCTTTCTTATTTGGTTTTCTGTTCTCAGGTCACATTACTGTGACGGGCATCTGAAATCACATTCCAGGACATGATACATTCAGACTTTCAGGAAATAAGTTGCGCAATATAATCAATAATTTTGATATTGTTTTGCTACGTTCATTCATAAATCACTGACTGATAAAACCGCTTTTGTAATTAAAAACTAAGCTTCTCACAATACATCGTCGCCTTTGAAATATCAGTAAACAAAGCAAAGGATACCAAAAATATTAAGACAAGCCCTCCTATAAATTATTTTCATTCATTCTTTTTATTCTTCTAGCACAAGTTTTTTCAAAATATTGATAAGAATTGGCAAGAAACTTAAAGAATCGAAAAATTTCCCGCATTTAGTAAATGAGCATAACTTTCTTATCAATGCTGCTTTATTTACTCCACTTCCATTCGTATCTTATCGAAAAACAGCGGGAATTACTTGTCATATACAGAAATAATAAAACTATACTACAAGATTTGAAACTTTCTTTGCTTTAAATGTCATTGAATTGTGCATTTATTGTTACACGATGAAAAACAAATTGTTAATGCTTTTTAAAAGAAAATCCCAAAGCATGTGAAATCACAGCAATACATTGTAAATCATGATAAGATTCATACGGTAATTCACGTTTTCTTAATTACTCACAAATCACTGTAAGAAAGTTTTTTTTATTTAATTTCTTGATAATCTTTCATCATTTCAAGATTGCAATCTGTCACGGATGACTTTAAATTTTATTTATAAATTACGTTGCAAAAATTAAAGTAGGCAGATATTTGGAAATGTTTTAAGTTAGAAATCAACGAAAGATCGTAACCTTCATTTAGATATGTAATCAATTTACTTGTTGCTTTTCTAAGGTTTAGAAATAAATTTGCTTGAAAAGTGAAAAGAAAAGTCACAATTGCTCTATTTTTAATATAACGAACAATTATTTTTGATATTTAGTAGGAGAATTTACTCTCAATAGTAACTGGTTGGCTACTCAAACGTCTCAAATAATAAAAACATTCGCAAAGCAATTAAATTATTTGCATTCAAGATTTTACATAAAAAGTGGATTGGATTTTCACTTTCGGTTTCTTTTCTTTCTCTTTCAATTTCAATCTTTTTTTTTGAAATCTTCAAAAATATCTTACAATAAGTTTGATATTTTTTCACTGCTTATATTTTTTTATCTAACTTCACTAGACTTCCGACTTCTTTTGAAATGTCACGAATGACTCATAAGCATAAAATTCTTTTAAGATGTTAAGAGTGATTCGTAAGAAAATCAGCAAGAATCTTAAGCCATGCAAAGTTTTAACCCGATTTCAACGGATTTGAAGCAAAAACTGAAAAAGAAACAATTGAAAAGAAAACCGAAACAACTCGAAAATTTGTGAGAGAACATAAAGAAGAAGAAATTTCGGCACCACATTCACAATGAATAGCAAGACTTTGTGGCTGTGTGAATGCAATAAATCCGATGGCTAGGAAATATCTACTCTTTGATATAACTTCCCAGAAAAATGCCAGTTTAGAATTAAACCGCTGATCGGTTGTTATTTAACTTGTTTATTCATGTCGTCTGGGAAATCTTTAAAGGAAATAACTTCAGTAACATGTTAATAACCGCCAATAACCGAGGCAATAATTCAATGTCAAGTTCAACGCTTAACTTTGTTATTTATATTAAAGTATGTACCTGAACTGTTTAAGTTCATGGACCCATCCATATAATAATTAGGTTTATCGAACACTAATTCTCGTCTCTTTTATAATCTTTTAATTAAAAATTAGATAAAGCTTCAGTCTACGCAGTTTTTCTACCTAGACAATGTTTATTATTCAAAATTTAATAAAATTTTGGTGTCGTGTTTCTTAAAATAAAATTGTAGTTTGTGTGTGAAAGCGAAAGCGTATGACACGAAGCTCAATGTCTACATTCGGTGTTTCTCATTGAAAAAGTTTTCCGACCTGAGTCAACATTTCAACCTTTTTTCTTAAAAAAAACTTTTATTCTTCCTTTTAGTCTCGAAGAAGACAACATTAGATATTTGAAAGCATGTCGGTGCAATAATCTTCTTTGTTCTCCTTTAGTTAAACGTTGCGAAAACAAAAAAATATTTCAAAATATTCGCTCTAGACATGTTGATGATTTCTTTTAAGAATCACAAGAATAAACAGGAAACCAAACGGAAACATGTTAATTCCCTTTTGAGTCGGTTTAATTTATTACAATATAATTCAAAGTTAAGATAAGGACGATGTTGCGACATAAACGAAGAGATAATGAAGTGTAAATAAGTTTCTAATTAGAAATTGCACACAAATTTAGCGATAAATTATTTTGAAATCAACCTCATTTTCATTAACCATTGATTAATGTTCTAATTAAGAAATATTCTTTGTGCGCATTTCTTTGATTAAATCTTTTCTTTTGAAAAGAAACGTACGTTGTAGAAATTATCTATTTAATATCACTTTCCGTATAGATAAAAAATAATATTTAAAGTAAACATTTCCGATTGCATTTCAAAAGAAATGTGCTTTTGCTTGACAACAAATGAATTTATCTGAGCATTTATAACTTGCAGCTTATATGAATTCCATATTTACCTTTGCTAAAACAACAGTAATGAAAACAAACTTTTGTTTTGAATGAATTCGAGAGATGTTTGAAAGAATTTTGCTATTTTAATTAATGGAAAAACACTTTGTGAACACGTCTATCATAATCAAAATGTGAATATCGACTGATAATCAATGATAAGAGAACAGCGATATATGATATTGAAAAATGTTCGTACACGTTCGGTAGCTGACCTTCATACTGGGATCAATTTCATTCTGATAGAAGACAAAAATTCGCAAACGAGAACTGCATCACATATAAAAAAATGTCATTGGGGTTAAAATAGAAATGCGTGCATGATGAACGAAATAACGTCATAATTCGTGGGAGTATAACATCATGTAACTTAATTACCTCGTTTATATATAACTTCCAAAAGGATTTGCTAATCCTAAAGTATCTTTTGTTTTTATTATTCACATATCATGTAAAGTTTCAAACCCACCTAGTTAATGTGTTATGTGCAATATCGATTTCAGGAAATGAAATACGAAAGCAACAAAAGAAAATGAAGTGAAGAACTTGAAGTATAATTTCACTAAAACTTAAATTTTTATAGGAATAAGAACACATATTTAGTTACAGGAAATTTTAATTCAATTAAAAAAGGGAATGCGTCGAATAAGTGAAAACTTTTGGAGTTGTAATGATGCACATATTTAGCTTGAGCTATTCTAAAATGGAGTCACAGTCATAGTTTCCAAGCAACTAATCGATCGTCATCGTTAGAGAGATCAAGGACAAAGTTATTGACTGAAACCCTCATAGATAATCTTCTTTCGGGTGCTGAAATTTCTCTCGAAATTTCCCATTACAGATGCAAAGAACGATGCTAGGGGGATTCCATCTTCTTGATCATGCGCGATTGGAATGTCAACTAAATCAAACAAAGCTCGTTATAGTAACAATAATAATATTCCCTAGCATTTAAGTCAGACACCGTCTTGAATTTTACATTCTAACTCATAAAGTTACATGTCAATGACCAACACGAGTTTCGAATGAAATTTGATGCAAAGATTTTCTTAAACTCAACATAAATTAAATTTCCGTAACACGAAACGTTTCTCAGTGGTTTTAAAATCGCGAGTTCAAGAATCCCATCTTGTCTTCTTTTTGGTTTTGCGCGTCTTTCGTTTTATCTTAGAATAAATTATGTTCTACCAGACAAAGATACTTCATAAGAAGCATAAAATTGTAAATAAACTCGTATATTGTACATTGGAAGGAGTTCAATGTTTGCAACCGTCTGGATCATTTTCGCTCACGTCTTCATCTCTTCACATGTCGTTCAATGTTTTTTTTCCACAAATTTATTTTTGTTGGAGAGTTTCATAAATTTCTTGTAAGATTGTGATCAATTCCTTCTATAGATAACTTTAAGTTCGAGTTACAAAGCTATAAATGTATCATCATATCTATTTACATAAGCTTACCACGTGATCCTTTTCTTATCCTACATTGACGCCATCAATCACAAAATCTTATAATTTACCATATAACAAAAAATATTTAGTGCAAACATTAAAATTAAATGATTATGTTGATGGAAGAATTTAACTATCAAGCCGCTAGGCTCTAATTTGTAATGAATCACTTAAAATATTTCAAATTCTTTTTGTTCGCAGAAATTTTCATGTTTAATTAAGTAAGTAAGCGGAAGAATAAAATCAAAATGTAGATTGAGTGAGTGTAAAGAAATATTTTTTTGGCGAGTGTTCAATGATAAAGAACTGAAAAGGAAGAAATATTTCGAGATGGGAAGTGAAAAAAGAAATGAAACGTTTGAATTGAATCTACAAAACACTAAACAAGAAACGATTACGATACCTAAAAGTTTTGTGGTTGTCACGGGGCTCTGATCTGTAATCGCCGTGTAACTGTAATTGCTGCTTGTCGATATTTTAATGACAATTTCATGCAATGGAATCATCAGATGACTTTTATATTCTATTCTCTCTTGCTTTATCTTGATTTTGGTATTGTCGGAATTTAATAATTGAGCTAAGTCACATCTTAATTAATTTTAATGCTTAAATGCACTTTGCACGCGAACGAACTTACTTTGATGATAGTTATTGAACTTCCATCACAAGTAAGTTGACTTGAATTTCGTAAGATTAGATAACTTTATTTTGATATTCCGTTTTCCTTATTTTCAACTTTGTTGTAGATATGCGGAGGCGAGAAAGAAGAGAAAAGAAAATGGGGACGAGTTGAAGAAAATCACTAACCAATAAAAAGAACAATTTCTTTCTGCATTTCCCACTTTTCCTAAGAAATTCTTGGGAATTTCACACTTTGATGCACTTTTATTGAATTTCACTTCACTTTACTTGCGGATGACTGAGTGGTTGTGGCTCAAATTGGAACATCCGACAGGGAAGCGAGCGAAAAGCGTCCTTTCACGTGTTACATTTCTGAATGACTAAGATGGGATTTTGAGCGAATATAAACATCACAATATCGTTCATGAAGTTATTACAAAAAAAGAGAGCGAAAAGCTTTTCTCTCACATTCTATTCATGCGCAATGCAATGTCGAGATTAATTCCAATTGACAAATTTCAAGAATAAGGACATGTGGCTACAACGTGGAAAGCAACTTCCGGTGCCAAAAAATAAAACATTTGGTTAATTTTAAGTTTTAGAAACTGCAATTTTCACATTTTATTTCCTCTAAAATTGGTTTCCTTTCTTCAAGGTTTTTCTTTTTTTCGCGCTTTTTTTTCTCTTCATGTTTGTTACACAATCATTTATTTTTTATTTAATAAAAAAAGTTGAATTCAGCTTGATATCTATTTGTAAATTGTATTAAAAAATTCATTTGTCTATTCTTAATGATGGAGCGTGCTTGTGAAACATTTATTGAAAACAGAAATTATTTAAAGACGGTGAGTGATGGAAATTAATTGAATTTAAATTACAAATTTTTCTCTCGTTTGTTACTAACAGTTTTCATTCTATTTTGATGACTTCTTCATAATCTGTCGTCACAAAATACGACTGTCCACAACAATGGGATGTTTCAGGCTTCAGGTTCAACCTGAACCACCATCCAAAGATACAACGGATGCTTCATTATTTTTTTTAATTTAACTTATTGATAATCAAACCCGCAACAGCAGAGAATCGCCTTTAAATGTAACGAATCCAAAAACAAAGTCAAATGATTACAATTACATTTAGAAATCTCTGATTTTCCTTGCTTCTTTCTCAAGTTCTTACAATTTAAGGTACGAGTTTATCATTTTTTTGTATTTTTGAATCAATTTTTCATTATTTTTGTTTTCTCTTTTTTTTAACTTCGGATTAAAGAACAAGATTTTTTTTGTTTAAATTTATTTCTGCGCTTTCTTTGAATCTTGATGAGTATCACACACCACACGTGATCTCATTAGCAATCATCAAATAACAGAAAATGCACAATTATTAATGATTTCTTTGTTTTGTATTGTAATTATCTTAATGTTACGACTTCACTATGACCATTTATTACATTTAAAAAAGTATTTACAAAAAAGGAGAAGGTGCGGGAGTCTTCAACGAACATACAAACGTAAAAAAGGAGAATTTTACTTGTTGAATGATAATGAATGACTTTCATTGCTACTGTTGCTTTTGTCTCATCATCATTATGATCATCTGAGCCTTTCCCAACATTAATTAAGTATAAATATGCATAAAAAAGTCGAGAAAGGTTTGAAAGTTGTTTCTTATAAATTTTGAGTTCAAACATTTATTTATATCATTGCGTTTATTTAAGTGGGCACTGGAAAGAAGTTTGTTTTAGATTTCATATCTTCAGGGAACTTCTACTTGATGAAAATTAAAATATCTTACTTAAGACATGCACAACAGACACAATAAAATAGTTTTGTAGTTCTTTTTTGTCACAAACATTTTTTTTCCGATTTTTGTTTTGTATATTTGATGAAATTTCAGTGTTTTGCTCATTGCGAAAGGAATCATTCGTCGGCTCTTGAAGCATCATTAAGGATCATGAAGGAGATAATTTAACTTCTTGTTTAACTATCATAAGTATACAAATCTTTTTCAGATATAATGATTTGTAAAAAAAATTCAATAAACAATAAAATAGAAATAAAATTAAAAAAATTAATTAGTCAAATATTTTTTACACCAAGTTTAAGCAAATTTTCTTTCCCTTTCTTAATAATCTTTGATTTACTTCATCTTCTGGAATCCTGTTGTTTATTATTTTCCTTTTAGGGCTGTAGATATTTTAACTTATCAACATTTCTTTTTATTCATCAACAAAACGATGGACCACAATAATAATTTTAAAATGATTTCTTTCCATTTATTATTCCAATTCATTGAATTATTTCAGGTGAAGGCGGAAGCGACGAGTAAACAATGACGAATGGGTTCAAAAAAGGGAAGAATAAAGTTAATACGCAGCCCACACCACTTCACAATTTATCCTTCAAACTTCAACCCCATCCGTGTTTAATTCGACGTTTCCAACTTCCTCCACCTCGCATTTACTTGAAAATTGTTTTCCTTTTTTTGTTAATTTGCAAATTCGCGTAAATTTTTTTTAATCAATTGCTGATGAGATAGAAAATCTTTTTTGGTGGTCTAATGAATGTTTTGTGTGTTTGTAAGGTTTCGGATAAATTATGCTGTTGAATATGTTGATTTAGTTGTATCTGTTACTTAAGCATTCTTCATTCTCTGCTTTGCTGGCTCATACTCATCTTCATCAGAGTAATCATATGAATCTTCACCATATAATTCACCAGAGTCGCGTTCACGTTTAATGCTGTTGTTGTTGGAGTTTTGAGGGCTTACAAATGAACTTCTAAATAAAGATTTAAAACAATTAAACGATGAAAATGAATTTAAATTCGTTCAACTCACCCATACTGACTGTTGAATGATGCTTGATTATTACCCGACGAATAATTATTTGAGCGCGGTGATCCTGGTGCTGATTGTAGCACAACATCATTCAATTCTTGTGGTGAATTGTCTTGAGAATTATCTGGTGAATTTTCTAAATTAAATAAGTGAGCACATACTGATCATCTACAAAAATACTCACCCATGAGACTCGGTGAAACAGGAGCTGAACGTGGCATTCCAAATGGCGTTCTAAATCCTTGCGTCCCTCTCTGTCTTCTCTTACGATAGCTTTGATCAATCAACTTGTTTTCACTGTGTGGATCAATGCGCCAAAAACTTCCTTTTCCAGGCTCATCTTGTGATCGTGGCACTTTAATAAAGTAACGATTCAAGCTGAGATTATGACGAATGCTGTTGGAAAGATTTTAATTTAATAAGTTCTTTAAATAATGAGATGAATATTCAAACCTATTTTGCCATCCTTTGTTCGCACCAGTCCGATAATATGGATAGTTCTTGGAGATGTAGGAATATATGCCAGATAATGTCAATTGTTTATCAGGCGCTGCTGTTATTGATTGCACAATTAGTTGAGCATAACTGTACGGTGGTTTCTCCATTTCTGATCCTGTTCCTGATGTTGATGGTGCAGTGAATTCCTGAATAAAATAATTAACGAGTTAAGAAGATTTTTCAATGAAAATTAAATTAATTCACCATATCATTGAAGTTGTGACTGCTATGACCATTATTATGTTGGGAATAAAAGTCATGATAATTATTGTGACGTGGGCTTGTTGGACATGAATTAGCAGCTGACATTGTACCGGTTGGAGATGGAAAAGGACTTTTAATGTTCTTCAATGCACCTTCTTGTTCTGGAATTGATATCTTGAGTGGACGATAAACGGTATTTGTATTCTCAACTGAAGTTGATTTGCCGCCAGGTCCATCGTGTTTACGATTATTTTGATCAACCAAATTCTCAAATTGTATTCGAATATTTGTACTTGGAAAACGTAATGTACAGCTGAAGAAGAAGAAAATTAATTAATCTATATTTAATAACAATTTAAGAGAATTTTCTTACGAGCTTGGTAATCTTGTTGGTTCGTTGCTTTTACGAATAAACTGATCATCAATGAAAACTCCATTTTTACTTGCACACACCAGATTGAAGTCATGTCCATCATAATGTAGAATCAAATGCTTACGAGAAACGAAACTATTCTTACCGACGTGAAAGTCAACGGCAGACTTTGATGAGTTGCGACCAATTTCAATGACATTTTGACTGATCAAAAGAATATTATCTTTCGACACAAGACGACCAATGAACGACTGATATTGATGGTTTGTGCTGGAACTGCTCTTGTTGATTGTATTGTTATTGTTGTTGAAAACTGTCGATGATGAGGATTTTGGGTTTCGGATTGTGGAAGATGAAGAGATTTCTCGCTGACCGCCTGTTGATGGCGTCAAGTACTTTTTGATTGCAGGTTTGTGGATGATGGTCGAAGGTGGCCCACTGTTGTCAGATGAAACCGTCGTTAATGTTACTGTCTGTCCAGACCCGTCAGTTTCAATCACTTCACTGATAATATTGCCATCATCGATTTCTTCTTCGTAATGCTCTTCTTCAATCAAATGGTCCTCGACAATCTGCTCATCACCGACAGTTTGGTAATGCAGCACAATTTGTGGATTCGGTTGTTCACTATGATTGTTCTGATCAAGTTCCTGTTCTTGTTTGTGCATTACACGAGGCAGGTGAAAATTGTTGTTGTCAGTCATCGCTTACTTTTTTATTTTCTTTTCAATTTCTTTCTGTTTTCGTTTGATTTTTATTTCTCTGTTGTATAATATAATTTGAATATATACTTAGCAAGGATCTGCGTGAAATAAAATTAAGAGAACAAGAAAAAAACGATAAAACTTTTGTTTAATCAATGTTTAGGTACGATTATTGTTTTGTATGCAATTTTTATGTAAACATTTAACGCGTCGTAGTGTCGATGAAACGGAAACAAATTTCAAAGCTTTTTGCGTCGAAAAAATGAAGAATTGAGAATAGATTAAATAAAAGAAAAATTCTCATACTTTATTCACAATGTGAAAAAGTAAATAATAAAGAAAAAGCTCAAAACTTGTTATTGGAGATATGCTTGAAAACGGATAAAATGAAACTTTTGAGTTTTTCCTTGAGAATCTTTATAAACAAACAATTTCCAAGCACTTCTTCTTGCTCGCCCTTTTTTATTTTACATGTAAAAAAACATTTTTGTTTATATTATTTTGTGCTTTCGCGCTGATGCTTCATTTATACACACAAAATAACAACAAAAATATCATTTATAAAAGAGGAAAAAAAGGTCAATAAATTAAAATATTATGCTTATTACTCGATATCTGCATATTTTGTAACCCTTTAAGGAATTTTCATGAAATTAACTCTTATATTTTCCAATCAACACGAGAAAATTAGAACTAAACAAACTCAACTTCTAAAATGGAAGTGAAAATAAATAAATTCTGAACAAAACAACGTGCTTTGAGAAAAAATAATTCAGAAAGTTATTTAACATTGCTTTATATTGACTGAGATTATGTTTATGTAACTTTAGAATGAACTAATTTATTATTTTGAGCGTCTACCGAAATGTGTTTTGCCCTTAATTGACTCTGCTAAACTTTTATTTATTTTTTGTTGTTTAGGTTGTGTGAGATTTTTTCATGCTTCCTGAATGCACTTTTTTCGATATATTACATTTACCCTTCACCTTATTTCTCTAATATGATCCTTATTCTACACAATTCAGTTAGTTGTAAACAGTTTCTTTGCTGTTTAATGCTTTTTATTTTAATTTTAATAAATTTTCAGAGATATATTTGATACCCCGTCGAAGCAAAGGAGAGGGTACACCGAACTACATTTGTTTTTTCCGAAGTTCGGACTATCCACGCTCGAATGTTTATTCAACGTATTCTATATACCTTTTTTATGTAAAATTGTGACATATCTTTGAGATACTTTTACACAACATTTATTTGATTATTACAATTACCTGAGCTTTTTAAATTGATGATTAAATATAATAAAAGTTAACGAGCAACAAGTTGGCTCCATTAAACTGAACTATAAAATTAATTTTATAGTTCAGTTTAAAGGAGGCAACTTGTTTTGCATCAAACATTTCAGATTAGAGACCGATCAAAATTGTTGCCATCTTTCATCGTGTTTTTAAAAACATAAACAAATAAGGTAAATAACAATAGTAACCTTTGATTTATAATGAGGTAAAATTAACATAAACTTTAATCAATTCTTAGAAATAAATTGAAAATCTTCAGAAACATTAATCAAAAATGAAGGAACCAGGAAGCCTCATAAGAATAAAAAAGTTTAGTGATTCAGAAAATGAAAACGATGAAGAAATTATGTTGGAACAAGAATCCAATCAAGAGGATGACAATAATGAAATCTCTGAGAACCTAACAGCAAATAAATTAAAACCTTCATCTTTATCATCGAAAGAATTACAAAAGTCTAAGAAGCGTAAAAAGGGAATAATTTTCATCAGCAATATTCCAAAAAATATGAATGTTGCAATATGTCGAGAGCTTATGGAAAAGTTTGGGGAAGTTGGAAGGATTTTCCTTCAACCGGATAAGAAAGGAAGTAAGTTTCACAATTGAATCAATTGAAATTACTTATTCTTATACTTTGAAATAATTTCAGTGACGAAAAAAGCAAATAACAAGAAAAAGAATGTAGTCTTCACCGAAGGTTGGGTTGAATTTGAAAAGAAAAGAATAGCGAAATGGGTTGCGGGAAATATCAACACAACTCCTATTTCAAATAAGAAAGGATCGCCGTTTTGTGACATACTTTGGAATCTTAAATACCTTCCAGGATTTAAATGGATTCATTTAAGTGAAAGGCTTACTTACGAGCGTGCTGTTTACACACAAAAACTTAATATCGCAACTTCTCAAGCTAGAAAAGAAGCAAACTTTTTCCAGAATAATCTCGACAAAAGTGAAAAATTTAAGAAAAGGATGAAAGGAAAATTAAATAAAAAGATTTAGGATATTTGGTTTATATTTCTTTACGTTTGGATTCATCTTTTTTTACAGGATTTCTAAAGTTATTGTCTTTTGGAAGATAACGCTTTCTATCGCATTAAGTTCACAACGATGGATGTCACAATTCGATTTTCCTTCACGCCTTTCTCAGCAATTGGCACGCACATGTCATCGAAAGATTCTTACAAGTAAAATGTTTTGATCCTCACTTGAAGCTGCGTAATTGGTGAAAAACAACCAACAACAAAGACTTCCATGCCTGTATACGATCAATTGGTTTTAGAAATATCTCTTTGAAGAAGCATTTTTTAGATATAATGTCTGTAGACGATCGATAGATGTGGTAAAATTGGATGATTTCGTGGAAGGCATCTTATTAAAAAGGTGCTTACTTAAAGTTATAATATTAATACTAAGAACAAGGAATGACATCCATACTGTGATGACTGTTCCAATGTTCTCGAATCTTTTTCAAAATATTTCTAATGCCAAAATCTCATAATTATTCTCATCCACAATTATTTCCAACTCTTCCATCTCAATAAAATACTTTATCACTCAGCTCTCAACTTTTTCCGATTACCTAATCCAGTCAAGTAGCAATCGTCTGAAGTTAAAATTCATACTGAATGAATGCCTTGTAGACAATTTGTTTAAACAAAACATACGTACTGAAGCAATTTTTCTCCCCTTGGTATCCCCCAAATGGTATTTTTCAAATTTGTGAAAAACATTGAAGAAATGCTCCAAGCCCTGTTTTCAAGGCAAATTTCCATTTGTTTGGCTTTATTTTAAGCTAAATTAGCTATCTGTGTACTCAGTTGGTGTACGACTTCCTAAAAATTGTATAAAAAAGACATTTTAAATTTTTCAATGTTTTTTGTGAATCTTAGCAACCAATGTTTTTTCGAAGTTGCTCAATTTGTTTAAACAAAAACAAAATTATCGAATGTTTTCGAATGCTTTATTCCGCATAATCCAGAAATTCATCAACGTAGTCCAAAAATTTGAGAGGAATCAGTGAAATCCATAATTTTGAATTCATTTTCAGTTGAGTTTAAATTTTCAAGGAGTGAAGACGTATGTTTGGTTCTCTCTTCAACAATTATAATGTGTTGATCACTATGTAGTGAATTTTATCAGCGTTTAAGTGTAGAATTCTTTTCACAATAGAAAAAAGTGTTCAAAAAAATTCAAGAAATTTATAAATTCCATTTATGAAAGTCACAGTGCGTGAAAATAATTATTTTTTCGTTTTCAAAAGAATCAACAAAGACAGGTGTTAAATAAAATTATAAGAATAACGTATATCGTATTGATAACCTTCCATTCAAAATAATGTACACTGAAACGTATCAAAGCATCATTAGTCGATTAAGATAAGTGAATATTTGCAGTGCTTAATCTCGAGCCATCAGGCCAGTGCGAAAAGATACAAAATTATATATAGAAGGAGCTCACAACCATCAATGTACAAGCATACAAGCAGCCTAAAACCTGTTTTCAACCTCTAGTAAAGACATCGCGTAGTATTCAACGTTTTTTTTCTTATTTCATTCTGTCTTATGAAATCCGAAGCAAAAAATTGAGGCTCCAACAACAAACACATCAACAGCAGCCTCAAACAAAATGAGACAAAAGGAATTTATTTTGTTTTTAAAGCATATGAAGAAGAATTGAGGGCTTACAAAATAGTTAACGAATATTTATATATTTTTTGTGTTTACAACGATTATAGAGTGCGCGGGCCATGAATGGTAACTAAGCAGCCAATCAACCAACAACAAATCGTTTTGTTGCGTGAAAGAAAGAAGAACCCTCAATGCTGCAATAAATAGTTTCGTTAGTGACACGAATAATTCTTTGTTTATCGTAGAAAAGTGAATTTTCCTTTCAAAGTGACCATAAAAAAATTAGCTCGTTTGCCATTCATTCGTATCGAATTAATAAATTCGCAACGAATTAAAAAAAAATCAATTGAAACAGTGACGATTGAGTGAAAGCTCAAGAAATCTTATTCCAATGATGAAAGTAACTGTTTGTTTTGGATCCGTAAGGGTTGTTGTGCCATGCGGCAGTGGTGATCTGCTCGTACGTGATCTCATCGTCGAGTCAATACGACGTTACAAAAAAGCATCGGGAAAGGTGAGTTCATTTAAAAAAAGCTTAATTATTAATTAAATCCAAACGAATCTTATCAAATTTCGCAATTGTCCATGCAACATTTTGCTTTTCTGTGGTTTTCTTGTGTATTCAACTTCTTGATTACGTTTTAACCTTGACAAATCTCTTCTGTGTGTATATTCTCCGTGTTCTTCTTTGAACAACAACAAACATCCGTGGTAATTTGCAAGCTCCAGCGACAAAATACCAAAGCAAAAGAAAACAATCATTAAGAGACTTTTTGTTGGTGCTGCTTTGGTCCGAAGAGTTCATTTACAAGTAACTCATCTGAAGCATGACACGCGAACGATTTCATTTCAATTTTATTTTATGTTTTCTTAACTCAACCGGCATTCTTTGGGACGGGACAAGACGCTAAAGCTAGTTTCCCTTCAATACTCGTAAGATTTTTTACAACAAACTCCAACTCTTTCAAACAACAATGATGATTCATTTCCTTCTGTCGAAAGATGTTAGAAAACATTTTAATGATTCAACTAAGAAACAAGTTTCGATTTTATTTCATGACGCTCACTTTTTGGTTGCATACCAACCAAACAATCGAATTTCGTAGAATGACTTCGTGTACTATTTATTAATTAAAAATTTAATTTGATTTATTGAAAATAAAATGAAGTAATCTTCTAAAGATGATGAGCGACTTACACAAAATGCATTTGTAGAGTAAGCAATTTAATTAAATTTTGTAATGTTCTCATATCAATCAACTACAGTCAATTTAGATGATTATACGAGAGATTTAATTAAATTTCAATCACGAAACCTTGTCAATTTGTAAAGTTTGTCCTTGAACGTTCACACGTAAAGTTTGTCTCATTTTTGCTTGTTATGCAATATTGATTATTTGTTCCGTTTCCGGTACTTTAATCTGCTTACAAAATTCATACCGCCATGTAAATATTTGCATGAATGCATTGATTGTATTTATTCAAAATAAATAACAAACTTGATATGAGCAATAGATGGAATTAATTTTGTATTGTTTCACTAGTTTGGTAATTTGCAAACTCATTGAATCATCACTTTAACGAATTTTCTTAATATTGATTTTATTTTTGAAGCCTGAAAAGCTTGCATTGATTCCATACACGGATATCTGGATATCGATAGAGTTTTTTAAAACAAAACATTCGAATGAAACGCGATTTAGTGATTTAATAGTGCGGAAACCTTTGAAGAAATTGAAGTAAAGTTTCTCATGAAAATGTTTTCTCTACTTCTGGCTTCGCTTGTAATAAGAAATATCCGATTACAAGTTTAAGAACTTCCTTTCCATCATTAGATGTTATTACAAATTCGATGCTTTCTTTTCCATCAACGAAACTTGTCATCCCTGAACGATGATGAATGAAGCAGACTACACAAGCTCTCAATCTTGTCAACCACCATCATCATCTTCATCTTTTTCTTTTGGAAGAGTATAAAAAAGAGACTTCAATGCCCGCATCTTAATATCAAAAGAAAATATCTTGAAGAAACCTCACACTTTACGTTTATCACAAATCCATCGTGGAATTGGAGAATAATCACCTAAATAAAAGCGAAAAGTTGTCAAAAGGAATTATTGAAGCATTTCAAGAGTTTACTCCAATTTCCATTCCTTGTATCTTGCCTTGGGTTGAAATTTTAAATTTCTTGAAAAGTCAACCTAAGCAAGACATAAAATAGATTTTAAGACCGTTGCTATCAACGTTGCTTTATGCGACAATCAACCGACTAATTCAATATTGTTCCATGGCCTGGTGACATTTAAATGCTTTAATTTTGAGTCATTTTCATTTCACGCGATTTTCAACATAAACTTAAATGCAAGAAGTCCAATGAGTTCACTTGAAATCATAATTTATTTAAATAATCCGAAACATTATTTTCTGTTTCCGATGACAAAACATCAGAATTAATTTGAGACAATGAAATGAAAGGAAAGAGTTGACAATCATGTGAAAATTGTGAAATTGGAGAATGAAGAAATTCAATCGATGATTTGTTTATTTTAAAAGTCGTTGAAGTTGGCGGGCGATTTTTTGTGCAGACCTAAACACGGTTGAATTAATTCATTCCAAGTGAGAATGACTCATGTTTCTTAAAAACGACTTTCGTCGTCTCTTGTTTTTCTTATTTCTGTCGACGTGAAATGATGAGAAGTCTGAAATATAATTTCAAGATGACGACGAAAGCAAACACTTGTTGGTTGACTTTTTGTTATCTTAAACCTCTCGTCGCGTTACTTGTTAACTTTAATACTTTTTTAAGCAAGTAAATTTTCGTTATGCATCGTCTGGTAAAGATTTTTATAATAATAAAAATTAATATTCGAGACGCAACTCACGACGCTTTGGTCACTGTTGAAAATTTGAATACAATTGACAGCGTCTTTTAATCGTGAATGACTTTAATTCAAAAAAACCTTAGAACTGCTACAATTCATTTAATTAAATTTAAAAAATCTTAAATTGAATTTCGAAATAAATTCACTTTGAATTCTCATCGTGTCGAATTTATTGTGCTTGTGCTGTTTCTGACTTTTCACGGTGTTTTTATTTGGATTGCTTTTGATTTTATGAGAAAGAAAATCACAATTTTCAACGCGACACGATAGAGGAAACCGTTTCAAGGAATTTTATATTTTTAATTTGTCTGGAAATTGATTGAAAGCAAAACAACAGACGACGATGATGATGATGAAACTGCAAGTGGTTGTATTGAAAACATACTTAACTCAACATGCTTTACCGTTAACCTTATTAATAAAATAACATTCATTGCGTTGATGATTTCATACTTATTTGCTGATTTTTGAGTGTCATTGATCCATAAATGGTATCGTCTCTGAAACACTTCAATTCACATTCGCATACGTCTGTTTCATTTTTATTTTTTGTATCAATTAAAAGCCTGTTTTTATAAAAATTAGCTTTTGTAACTCTAATCGAGCTCTGCCCACAGTCAGACGCGTTTGAAACTCAATCTTAGCGTTTGTGATCAACTCTTTCATTCAATTTTACCAGATTGCTCTTGTTGTTCTGCTGTTTTAATCTATTTATGGCGCTGATGGTTAAGTGCTGTGATAGCTTTAACACAATTATGAAACAATCATAAATGAGCTCAAAAAGAAAAAAAATTAATCGAGCAAAGCAAAAAAAGTTTGATTGCCACATTTATTATCAAAAGTTTTATCAATTTACGCTTTAATGTTGACAAAAGTTTTGTTATCATTAGACTGATAGTGATAGGAATATTTTGCTTATAATAAAATTCAGGCTAAACGATTATAACCTGAAATCTGGGTCGAGAATCGATTTGCACATCATTATCAACACCAACTTAAGTTAGGAAACAAAAAAACGGCGAGATCAAGAACCTAAACTAAAAATTACCCTCCCCTAAGTGTTTAACTGTAAAAACATTCACTCGTTTTATTTTTCCCTTACGATGACGAGAAATGTACCGGCAGATGTACACACACACACTCAAAATTATTATTTTTCATACATTCAAACTGTTGGACAAAAATTATTTTGTTATTTTGCATTATGACAGTGTTTGTGTAGATACAACGCACCGTTTTCATTCATTTCGGATGATCAGAAATCCCAAACATATGCTGAACATATTTCTTTTCCTTCGATCTCTCTTTCATGAGAGTTTTGTGGTGTTATGTGCCATGATTTTTCTCATAAAACAATTTATAAATGACGATACATTACATTGCATTGGCGCAAAATTGAATGTAGAGGAAAGAAATTGCATAAGAAGTGACCTGAACTTCACTCAATTTTTTTGTTTTTTGATTATGTACGAAAACAATTACTTATAATTATGCTAGTTTTTACCCACGAAAGTTGAGCGTTACGTCAGTCTTATCTACTGATGAATAATCTAAATTGTAGCGTTTACCAACTGAAATATTTTCACGTAAATTGTTTCATGCAGAAAAATTGTTGACGAGAAGTTCTCTAGACACTCTTTTGTTCATTCTATTTTACAAGGAGTGCGCGCGAATTTTTCTCTTCGTTTTTCATTTATAACATTGTTATGCTAATTGTAACGATTGGTGAATGGCAAAAGGGTGATGGAGGAATAATTCACAAATTTATTCTTACAAGTTTATGACATCGTCGTGTCCGATAGAATTTTATTTCTCCGTGGCAATGAAAAGTCCACGCTTATGTGCAATAAACTCTTGGCGATTGTTTATGTCACAGAAAAAATGAATTAATCAAGAATTTATTACTTTGCTTGATTTCTTTGCTTTTCTGTTATTGCGCAGTAAAATAAACAACATCAATCTGTAGGTGTTTTGCTACAAAGTAACGTTAGATAGAATTGATTCACCAATAAACAAAAGAACAATTTTTCAACACTTTTTCATTGAAATTTAGAGATAAGAAGTGAACAGTTTGCGAATATTCGACTAGTTCCTAACAACACCACAGAGACCTCATGCAAAGCATCGTTTCTCTCTCACTCTTTCCTTAGTTTCTATAAATTTTATATTCTTAATTTTATGCAAAGTTATGTAGAACGCTTAGAAAAGCATTTGACTTAGTTTTAGTCTTTCTGTTGTTTTCAAGGATTATTTAACTTTATGTGTTGGATGTTGGCGACATAAAGAATGAGTGAGTGAGAGAAGTTTAAATGATAATCATATTTAAAAATGTCAGCTTAAGCGGACATCGAAGTTGAGAATAAAAATGATCAGCAATTGATTTAACATGCAAATTTCCACATTTTTACTTTTATTTTTATAATTTTTCGGAAAGACTAGAAATGCGATTTGAATAATTCTCAAATTATTGAAAGTGAAATCGGTTGTTTGAAGACAGTAATTGCTTTACAAATCAGAAGCATTCGCTCCGTGTTATTTTTAGTTTATGTTCAAATAAGTATCCGTCTATCTATGTGCTTGAATTTGAATTGGAAAACGAAAGTTTTACTCGACAGATGATGAGACTTCATTGTGGGGTGAACGAATTAAGAAGTTCATAATTTTCTTCTCCCAGCTCAATTAAATTGGTTTTACTTCATTCAAAAAATTAAGAGTGGCTTCATTAGTTGTATCCCAATCACTTTAATAAATCTCTGAAATGCGTGAGAAACGAAGCATCTTACCTTTCAGATTAGAAATACTCTGTCGAGTGCAATGAAGAGAATCTCAACAACAACGTAGGATGGCTGAAACGAGGTGTTCGCTCACTTAACTATAATGGCAATTAATTGAGTTCAACTGTACTGCGGTAAACGATTTGTAATAAAAGTTCTATAATCGAATATGGAATTTCAATGTCACAAACTCCTCCTGCATTCGAGCTTATTGTGATTTTTTTTTCTTACAATCCGATGAATATGAAACTTATTGTTGTATGTATGTAAATTGAAAAGCGAATTATTTGACAATAACTCGCACGTTACTGCACGTTTACATTGTTTCCCTCCTCTATTAAACATTATTATTAATTTTAAAAAAAGGCAAATATTGACTTTAATTATTCAAAAAAATAAGATGAAGACATTGGAATGCAAGACGCAAGAGTTTCTTAAAACGAACTTCCTACATTGAGTTTAATTTTGTTGTTTCATTGAAGTTAAACATTCAAATATTTAATCTTCACTCCATCTTTAAAATGTAATCCTTTCAATAATCATTCAATGACGATGAGAATTATTACTGATGCTTTACATCAGACATTGATGATTCTAGTTTTTAAAACTGAAATGTTCTTTCAAAGACCCTTTCATTATAAGGAGGGACAATTGAAGTTTGAAGAAGAAAGAAAAGAAGAAATTGTGTTACAAAAGGAATCGTGGTAAAGTTTCGGCTCCGTTCTTCAAACCATCACACGTTAATTATTTTACGATTCTGTAACTTTTTCTCTCTCTTTTTCTCCTTTTCTTAAAAATCTTTTTTGAGCTTGTTTTTATGTAATCTCGAAGAGTGAGTGAACATTCCAATTTTACCTGCTGCTTCAACTCGGACAGGTCGCTTCTTGTAGTGATGGTGATGAAGAAATGTTGGACAGTTGTCGTAGTGTTAGTGAAAATTCGGTCAAGATCATTATTCGATTAGACGCGCAATCCATGCTCGTCTCAAAGACGGTCTTTTCGATTTAACATCTCGCTCTTGCTTTCTCACACTTAATGTCTTCAACAAATGAAAGAGGCAAGAATTCGACCCATAAACTCCAATTTAATGGCATTTTGGAATGTGCATCATGATTTCCATTTTTATTTCGAATGATTTTTTTTTCTTTCTTTCTTGATGTTGTCTGCGCTCTTAGTGAATCGAAGCAAGCGAGAAATCTTTTCGATTCAAACAGAGACGAAACAATGTGTTTGAAATGAAAATCTTTTTATAAGAATGTTAAATATATAACTTTCATCTTAATACTTAATCTCCGTTTGAGTGCTGCAGTTTATTAAATCGACATTGACACTGTTGAACACATTCGTCGCTTGCTCCGCACGAGTTCTTGTTTCATTCTTAAGCAACTCCTTGAAAAATGTTGTGTTTGATGACCTGTTCTTTGTCCATTTCATGTCGCATTATATAAAATGAAACATTTTGAAAGCAACAAGATTCCATGGAACATTAATCAAATGAAAAGGAATTATTTTTTATATTTAGAACCTTCAGAGATGTCTCGAAAGGAGACACAATTTGTGTCCATTGTCATAACACTCCATCCGGAAAGACACTTCAACTTAATATTTGATATTGTCTCATCAAATATTTACTCATTCACGTTTCATCTCCCGTGAGAAACATCCAAAGTCACTTTTCCTTCTCCACCAAAGTCAAATGTAAAAGAATGTTATTTGGTCTATAAATGCAGATGATGACTGAGGTAAATGGGAGAAATAAACAAATGAGCCCGCCCGCCAAAACGTTGCAGAAAGAAAGAAAAACAGCGTAACTTCGATCGATGATTCACAACATTTATAAGTGTGCGAACATTTTGCGGTTTTTAACATTAAAAAAAGAAGGAAAGAAAAAAGAGTTTTATAGAGTAAAAGCGCCAGAATTAAATTCAATATATAAAATAACAAAACGAACATGCATTTGCGTTTTTAAAGTCAAATATAAAAATATTTATTATAGAAATAAAAATATTTCAAATGAGAAAGAAAAATTGTTTTCCATGACTCGAAATATTTAACTTTTACCTTGGAGTATCCTAGAATTATCACGAATTTAATTATTTACAAAAAAAATGAAGGTTTAAATGCAATTTTTATATTTCGATAACTCACGAAACTTATTTGTTGGAAGTTTCAAACTAATATCATTGAAAGAGTTGAGTTCCGACTCACATCAAATGTACTTACATACGTACATATTAAGGTATATTCATCCATAATATAAAAGCTTATTATGATTCTCTTTGGCATTCCAATCAACTGACAGATGACCTTCAATTGTTGACCCTCGGCCATTCTTTTGCAGCCACAATCGCGTAAAAGGATTATCGTAGCTTTTTAACCAAAGCGATATTAAATTCCACCCACACATCTCTTCCTTTTCGAAGACTCGTTCTTTTCGTGAATAAAATATTTTTTCTTTTTCAAAGAATGTCAGAAGAAAGAAAAACTTGAAATAAAAATCAATTTCGTGTGAGCCTCTTATGAATGCCATTTGCGTTTTTGATCATTTTTATTCCAATCACAAAGAGATGTATTTGTTGTCGAGATTGATTCCTGGAATAATTCTTCAAGTAAATAATTTACGGATTCCTCCGCACCTTCATACTTGATTGTTCTTTCTTGAAAATTATGCTTGAGAAACAAATTGTTTTCTTATAATACTAAGAATTTTCTCTTCTTAAATGTCATCAGAATTCCGATTTATTCTAAGAACAACTTGAAAAAGCGAAGGTTTGAATTACATTTGTCATTTATTTATTTACATAAATGTGAGTGAAATTCAATTACACTTCTGATATTTCCTTTCAAATGTAGATTTCTTATCTCAATTTTACCGTCAATTTATAAATATTTAGTTTGGTTTGCAACTTCAACTTCTATACTAAAGCTAAACGTGCAAAGCAGTATTTACTTGACTGAACCTTCACATTCTTTCTTTATATTTTATCAGTTATTCGATTCCAACGAACCGTGCAAATTTCACTAAGTTAAGCTTGGAAATGTCAACGAAATTGTTCAATTTAATGTTTCGAAATAATGTTAAGGAAAATTCGATGGCGTAAAACAAAGACGGCGCTCGGCGTGAAATACCTAAGATTATGATTCACGTTTACGTTGAATTACATTTTTGTCATATACATGTATCTACATTAACATACTAACATGGATTAACACTTTTTATTTAAAAGTGTTAGTGTTGATATTGTACAAGTTTCTTGTATGCTTCAATTGTATTGCATCTGAAGCTCGATCGAAGGAAAAAGCTTTCATAGAAAGAGATGGAAATACAAAACTATGTCAATTAGTGTGTGAATTCAGTTAGACGTCACTGTTACTGATTTGATTTTTCTATTGTTAATTTCAGGGTTAATTATTAGACTCGTCAGTGCTTTTAAACTTTTCCCCTTTGTTTTTTTAAATTATTTTACAAGTGCTAATAATCGACTAACACTTGTTGATGAATGAACACAGCAAGGTAAATCAAAACAAAAACAAATTTCAACTGTTCTTTTGCTCATTCAATTGGATCGGATGTTTCATCTAACATACTTTGTATTAAGGCTTGGTTGGCGACAGCTGTTGACCTTTAATGCTTCTTAAAATACAAACATCGATGTGACAACGCTTTTTCAGTTTCACTTTTGTCTGTGATTTTTTCAGAAACAATTCTTTAGGAGCATTAAGTTTCACTTGAAATGCAGCAATGAAAAGTATTCATTAAATTACAAGGCGGTAGTTCTCAACGTGCTTATTGATATAATCTCGAGAAATTTCAATTAAGTTTTGAAAGCTTCATAACAGAATTTTCCAAATGAATCATTTCCCATTAATGAAGCAAACTCGTGATACTGATAAAACGCCATTATACTAATAAAACTAAATAATTTTCTCATCTGATGTTTTCTCATTTGTCTGACATTATTCATAGGAAATTTGTTGAGTTAATATCATGTGTCAACAAAGATTTCATCCAAATAGCTTCATTGTTCTCTATAAGTATTTGCATTGAGTCGCACAAGAAAGCAAAAATATTTCATTATCTAAAAAGCTTAAATGTAACACGAACATCATCAACAGAATGAGAAATCATCAGGTAACTCTGCATTCCATTGTTGTTTGAGCGATAAAGCAATTAGAATTGCGCTTTATCATGTAAACGAAAAAAAAAGAAGTTATTAATGGTTTGCTTTTATTATTGGGCATTAGTGAACATCGTGTCGATAGAGTAATTACAAACAACAAGTAGAGACCAGGAAAAAGTGGAACTCAATGCGAAAATCACACGATTAACGTCCAGTACCCGAAAGATGCGACTGTGTATAGAGGAGTGTTAGAGATTGCTTAGAGTATTTATGTATTAGACACTCAATCACAATGGTGTATTGTTTGTGTGTATTTGTGGCAAAAAGCAACAGCACAAAACTAGGCAACTTGCTGTGTAAATGTTTTTTTTTTCACGATGGAGAAGAAAGAAAAAATATTTTCATTCAAACCAGCGCCACTTCAGTTGTATTTGAGGTCGCGAACAGTTACATTGGGCTCTTTCAGATCTGCAGTTTATTTATTACTTTAAAGTTTTCAAGTCAGAAAGAAGAAGTTATTTTGGGACAGAAGAAAAGTTCGTGAAGAAATTGTTGGATTAATCAAATGTGCTCGTAATTTAAATGTGATGAAATTTCAAAAAAAATGTTGTAGAATTCTCTTCGCTCCGTTGCTGAATTTCTTAAGAAAATGTTAAAAATTGTTCAAGAGAAACCTCTTCTGTTGCGTTGGAGCTTTAATGGGCGACGAGAAGAAATGAACACAAAAAATAAAATTCTCACGAAAAAATGTCTTTAAATTACCAAGTCGAAAAAAAGGAAGACGTAGCAGAAAAAACACAAAATGCGTTGCTAACTGAATTCACCTGCTACTTGCCTTCTATCTTCTGAAAGGGAATTAAGTGAATTGGATCAAACCACAGAATACAAATAACGAGTCAATACACTCGACGTATATAAAACAGTGTGAAGTTAAAAAAATGCAACATGCAGTTGATAGATAAAAAAAATGGAACGTAAACGAATGAGAAAATTAGAACACAAATCTAGAGAATCGATCAAGTTGAATTGACTTTCAGGTCTTATAAAATTTTTTATGGCTTCCTGTCCAAACGATGAAATTTTTTGTTTTGTTGTTTTTCTCTGTTGTTCGATGATTAATGTTATTGTAAGCTTACTTAAGCGACTCCAATTCTACTTTTAATTGCAGTGTTTGAATGAGGCATTGAATCAAAAAAAAAATTGTAAAATTTTCATGAAAAGTTGGCAACAAAGCAATGAGAAATCTCAACTTTTTGTTTATTTTGTTTTCGCCAATAGCTAATTAGCACCATCGTAATCATAAGACTTAAGGCTTTTATTCAACATTCGATTTATTGAAAAAGAGTCCGAAAATTCATTCCATAGCTCACAATACAATTAATTGAAATAATTACGAAAAGAAAAGTAGCAACGAAGAAAGCACACAATTGATTTCTGTCTATCTTTGTGAGTTTTCTCATAATCATCAAAGTGAAAACATTGAGCGGTGAATGCACATATAAAAGCAATTTTCGACGAATATTATCGTTTCGAAAGTCATTAAAAAAGCTTAAAAGTGACCAAAATTAATAACATAAAGTCATATCCAGACGTAACAAAAGTTGATTTGAGTGTGATAACGATTCAGATCTCAAATAACGACGACAATATGGTGTCAAATTGCATAAGATTAATAAAAACATTTCCCTTCGACTTTTTAACTGAAATCTGAAGCGAAAATATTCTCGAAAATGTAAATAAAATACAAGAAATTTGTGAGAGCGGCATTTGAAGTTTACCACACTTTTTTTAAAGCTTGGGTTGGGTTCGCTGCTAGTTCCAATTACGGAACAATTTTCTCTTTTAGTTTTAGGCTCGGACTTAAAAATCATTCTACATAAATTGAGGGACATACAGAGACAAAGTAAAGCGAAAAGCAACGCCACTCATGATGGTATTTTTATTTTGTGTGTCCCATTAAGTGCTTAACATCCGGTGTTGACCCTCGGAAGGGAAAGAAACGAACTGGGAAATGTTCAGTCGTTCAAAAATGGGAACGTTAAAGAGAGGATGTTCCGTGTCAAAGCGATAGCGATCAACAAGAACCTGCAATTGTTGTTATGTTGTTGTGTTGTTAGAAGGGGAAGAAAGAAGATTTTCAGGTTCTTTATTTAATCTTTTCATTAATTTTTTTTATTTACTGCATTGAGCTGTCAAAATTGAATTCCAATGATTCTTGTCCATGATTTAAGAAATGTGATGAAGAAGAAGAAGCAGCATAGTGGTTTATAGTAAGCAATGTATTTACGTACTTGAGGCTATAAATTTTAATTACTTCGTCAAAGCAATTGCTTAGTTATCCTAGCCGGTATCTGAGTTATTACGAGAATGTTTTGCGGTTATTTCTTATGACGTGAACATTTATTAGTCATGCTGCAATGCTTGCAACTTTAATTATCAGTGTCTTGCACAATTTCTTTTGTTCCGCGATAAATTCAGAAAGAAATAAAGGCATTTGTATCTGTCATAAAAAAAATTATTACGTCAAGCAAACTTTCGTATCTTACGCAATTTCTTCCGATGAAGTCGATGAAAGAAACATTTCACCGTTTTCTAATAAATGACCAAATCAAGGAAGAGGATGAATGACCGAGCGTGTTAAATTCTAAAATAAATCGAAATCTTTAACTACAAAGTCGTTTCTTTGTTGTACAATCGTGAAACTGAGATTACGAACGAATTTTTCTCTCTTATCTTCGCTATCTCATTAAATACAAAATCCAATTAAAATAAATTGAAAATCGTGTGCGTTTCTTGATAAATAATTTTATGAAAATATCGAAGTAAAAAAAAACAAAAGAAAGAAAACTTTCATTTCAATCAAAATTGAATCATTCGAAAATTCTGCGGAATATTTTTAAAAGATATTTTAACCTAACGACGATGGTTATTTTTTTTTTTGGGTTTATTTACTTTGCTTGCCAACGGTAGTGCGGCGTTTTTAGTGATACTTGTGTAAGGTACAATAAGCACCGAATAAATATTTTTACCTGTTTCACAATCATCAAACAATCGAAGCGATAGAATGAAATGCCTTCATTCGAATTTGCTTTCTTCAATGTACGTTGTACTTAACTGTTGTTGAAATGGAATTGAAAACTAATCCTCTGGCTTTTTTATGTTCATGTACAACGTATTCAAAAGGAAAAAGAAAAGCTTAGAAACCTTTTTCATTTATTTTTTTCTTTTGCTTTAATTTTTTAAAGAAGCTGTCTCAGTTTTCCTTTCGGCTTGGTAATTTGATATAAACGACATCATATTTAAAGAAAACAAAAGCGTTTAATTCCTATCGGATAGAAGAATTATCGCATAAAATTTCAATAACTTCGCATAATTTATTTATGTTTGTATTTAAAAGAAAGATATTGAAAACATTAAAAACGCTTAGTTTGATTAAACAGCCTCAAGCTAAATAAAATTTATTTCATTAGTTTCGTGCAAATAAAACGAGCAAAAATTATAAAATCTGCCATCCGGTCACTGCTTGTCGAACTCGAACTCGAAATCAAATAAAGAGTGAAAAATGAAAAAGGCGAACGACAGCCAAAGTGTAGAATGAATAATGGTAAAATATTTGAATTGCCGCCAAAGTGCCCTGGAATGTTGTCGACAAAGTTAACTGGCTTGTTTGGATGGCGTCATACCTATCGCGTTCATCATCGACAAAAGGGAATCAATCACTTCTCCAACCAGCACAACCTTCACAAGACGTACTCACTCAATATCACACCAAAGAAACATCACGAAACTTCATCATCAAATCCGTCACTTCCGGAGGCTTCTTCGACTTCGGTAATAATAAAAACTTTACGTCACACTTGGCCTTGAGACTTAATTGCATTAAGTCACTCATTCTTATCAACAGTTGAATATCTCTTTTTGTTGTTTTTTCTGATAGAGTTTACTTTTCATTGTGTGCTTTTTGACGGTTATAATTTATAACTTTACTTACTTTTGATACCACGAAGATCACAGAAAAGCTTTTGAAACAACGTTCACAGTTTTTAACGCTCTAATTAATCATTAAGTGGATTGCGGTTAAGAAAGTCTCGGGAGGGAAAAATAAAAAAATTCAGTGAATAGAAAACGATGCTGTTGAACCAACACACAGATAAATTAATAATTTTTTGAATTTATTTTCATTATAGAATCCAGATTCGTGGGTTGTTGTTCATCATCTTCAGTCACAGTCAGGAATTCTTGATCCCGATGATCATGTTAATGATGTAGCTGATGATCGTGAACAGATTCTTGCAAGTTATGATGATCATCCAGGGCCAGATCCAACAGTGCCGCAAGGTGGTGGTGATGGTGCAAGTGGAAGTTCTGTAGGAACAGGAAGTCCCGACATTTTCCGTGTTCAAGATGGAAAGTACACAAATCATAGTGAAGAAGTGACGACACATATTGATGTTGGTGAGACAGATCAGCCGCCGAATGGATTGACACTTCAAGTTCGTCGTGGCAGTGAACCATCACTTTTAGCACTTGATCAGAACACGCAGCTTTATCCAAGTCAGAATTCTCAAGAGCCATCAAAACGTTGGTCAGCGGCGCCAGTTTGTCGAGACGATCCACCCGAGCGACTCTTAAATGGCGTCACTTCATCAAATGGAACATATTTAAGTCCGAAATGGGCTGTTCCAGAAGAGGATCATCAAAATGATTCAATGCCATCATTTTCACGTTCCGGACGACTTTCGATGCAATTTCTCGGTGACGGTGCCAAGTAAAAATCTTCCATTGTTGACTTGATTTATAAATTAATATAATTTATGTTCTCTTCTAGTTATCGTTGGATTGAAGCGGCCGAGAAAGCGGCTGTAAATCATAATAACACAAACAGTAATAATTCTTCTTACAATTCAAAGTCATTACCGCGTGATGCAAAGCGAAAAGAGCCGCTGGGTCAAGCAAATGCATCGACATATGAATCGATAAGACAAAAGAGCGGGTAAATTATTTTCTTCTTTCAGTAATTCAATGAAATACATTTTCATTCTTTTATTCCCATTTCAGTGAAATGCTTTTAGTGACGAATGAGACGAGTGGACCTTTAGGACTTTCAGCGCTTCCAGAAGATGGTGGAATTCTCGTTCAATCAGTTGAAGCTGGAAGTCGTGCAGAGAAAGGAAGACTTAGACGTGGTGATCGAATTCTTGAAATTAATGGAATTAATTTAAGTGAACTTAAAAAGCCGGCAGTTCAAGATCAATTACAGAAATGTATTAGTTCATCGGAATTGAGATTAAGAGTGATTCGAGCTGAAACTGATGCACAAAAAGATCGCAGTAGAGCGAAAATGTTTGAAGCTGAAGAGAAATCAGCAGTTAATAGTAAAGTCGCTCACGTGTCACCGACGAGAAAAGTTCCCGGCACAATGTCGACAGCTTCATTGCAAGCAGCTAACACACGAAAACTTGGACGAAGAATTGAAATTAGTTTGAAGAAAGGACCACAAGGACTTGGATTTAGTGTGACGACACGTGACAACCCAGCTGGCGGCCATTGCCCAATTTATATTAAAAATATTCTTCCGAAAGGTGCAGCAGTTGAAGATGGAAGACTCAAGCCTGGTGATCGATTACTTGAAGTCGACAACATGACGATGACTGGAAAGTCACAATCAGAAGTTGTGAATATTCTTCGTGCAACACAACAAGGTGCAACTGTACGAATTGTTGTGAGTCGTCAACAAGAAATTGTCGAAGTTGATGAACGTGAAATTGGAAATCTTGAAACACAACCGAAACAACCACCTCCACCAATTCTTCCAACGAAGAAATCGCCATCAGCACCCAACATTCTTGACGTAATCGAGAAGAAATCAGGTGAAGAGTCGTCACATGACAGTGTTAAGATGAGAATAAAGAAATTAAATTCTTCATTAGATCAAAATGGAAACATTTTCCCTTGGCGCAATCGTGAAATTCTAACACTGAACATTCCAGTTCATGACACAGAGAAGGCTGGTCTTGGTGTAAGTGTAAAAGGTAAAACCGGACAAACAACTCCAAACTCATCGTTGAACGGAAACAACGCTAACAACACAAAACACGACGGCGATTTAGGCATTTTTATTAAAAGTGTTTTACACGGTGGTGCAGCAAGCCGTGACGGTCGCTTGAAGATGAACGATCAACTTCTTAGTGTGAATGGAATTTCTTTATTAGGACAGTCAAACGCTGATGCTATGGACACGCTTCGACGAGCAATGCTTCAAACTGGAGGAAAGAATCCAGGAATGATTGTGTTGAAAATTGCGAGACGTGCATCGTCACGACCAAGTAGTACGATTATTGAACAAAATTGTAGTGACGCTGCTGATGGAACGACAAGTAGTGAACAATCAGGTTCAACTGTCATTTGTTTATCGCCATCAATAAGTGATAAAAACGGAAATGTTATTCATAAAAGCCCAACGACGCCATCACAAGAGAATGGAAATGGCAAACGATGGAGTAATCCGGTGTTAGATCGATTGACAGGTGGAAGCGGCATAGCAACGCGACCATCAACATTAATGTCAACACTTCCAAGTGGTTTACGTAACGACAGTTATTATATGGCAACGAACGACAATTGGAGTCCAATGGCGAATCTTAATGGCAGCAATGCAGTGTTGATTGAAGAAGATCCCGAACCAACATCGCCAATTTCACTTCGACCGGATTTACAACATCAAATGTCAACATCAACACCGACAAGTGATGCAAATATCACTTATGCAAGTCAACTGTCGTTGGAAAATCCAGCAGCTGATGCTTTTAGTCGTGATGCTATTGGACGAAGATCGATGAGTGAGAAACATCATGCTGCGATGGATGCACGTGAGACTGGAACATATCAAAGGAATAAAAAGATGAGAGAAGAACGAGAAAGAAGTCAACATCTTCATAGTTCTGTTGAATCATTAACAAATGTTAATAATAATCGAATAGGAAGTATGAAGACAAGTCGACACAAGTCACATTTACGATCAGAAGCGATGGATCGGCTTGGTGAATTGGGACCGTCATTGGGTATGAAAAAGTCATCGAGTCTTGAATCATTACAAACAATGGTTCAAGAGATTCAAATGTCAGATGAGCCACGTGGACCGAATGCTTTACGTGCACCAAGAGGTCGAGGTCGGGAAGAAGTTCTTAGAGCTGCAGTTGAAAGACCAGAAGCACGAAAACATTGGCTTCTTGAAGATGGAGTAAGCGATAATGATGGCGGATTTTCAAACCGTGGAACTCTTCAGTCATCATCATCAAACAATAGAAGTAAAAGTAAGGAACGAGCTCAAAAGAAGCCAGGATTGTTGAAAGGGATTGGTCACATGTTTCGATTTGGGAAACATCGTAAAGACGTCTATCCAACACCACAAACAGAAGTCATCACAGATTATAATAGTTGGTCAAATGATGCATCAGCAAATAGCACAACACTCCCCCATCAATCGACTTCTCCATCTTCAAATCATTCAAAACTTTCACATGGACAACGCGAATCAAGTCATGAACGACAGCTTTCAGCTTCTAACGGTCCACCATCGTATCATCCACCTCCAAAAAGTGCGACACTTTCTAACGGACACGCTGGTAGTAAAATAACACAAAATGATGCTTTCAACCACCGATATTCGCACTATGTAAACTACGATGAGCTTCAAATGCAAATTAGGTAAGTTTTGTAAATATTTTTTCTATTCTTATTAAATTAACTGATAACTAACAAAACTCATTTGAGAAGATTTCCTATTATTCCATTAAACACTTTGTGTCATTATATCTGAATGTGGTGGTTAGTGGTTTAAGCTATTAGCTCGTTAAAAAATGTTTCAAATGCATCTTCATCCTTTTCTGTCGCTTCAAAACATTTCTTTCATTTTAAATGTTCAGAGAATTTGGGAATGTCATAAACAACTTTTCTTGTTATTCTATTTCTTTCTCTCATCTCATAAATACACACAAACCCACACACTCTCATTATCATTAAACACCTCACTGTTTGACTACTCGTCTCTTTAGAAATAAGTTGATTGTAACTAAACACCAAAGCCAAGAAATGCAACCTCAACAACATCAGATAAACAATTCAATTCTGACTGTTGTTGCTGCTGATAAGATTATTCAACAACAGCAGCAGCAGCAATTCCATCAGTCAGGTGACGGAAGTGATGATGGTGGTATGAAGAATGATTGTTTGTCTGATTCGACGATTGAGAAAATGCGACTGCAAGTTCGAATGCAGAGGGAAAAGGTGGAAGATGAGAGGTAAATAAATTGTAACATACACACCTAAATTAATTAATCATTGAAGAACATCACATATCGTCGTAAATTTGATTTGATTGGATGCATATCAACATTAATAAATTGACAATTGAACTTGTGTTGTGTAATGTTTTGCACTTGTGCAGAGCAATGGAATGAATTTTGTCATTTTCTTTATGTCATCTACTTTAGTTCGACAGTAGATTTAATTTTTTAATAAATCAGAAAACTGAATATGAAAATGACATTATTTCAAGATTTGTTCTCTAGATTGCACTAAATTATGATTTAATCTTGCAACCTGCATGATGTGTTATGTAAATATAAATGTCGATTGAATGAGTGAAATTTTGTTAGTGATAACATTAGAAGTCGGTTGAATTAAATAATTTTGATTGTTCATTTAAAATATTTATTTGTTGTGCTTAACAGTCGAAGAAATCACCATTATCATTCACAACGTTCGGCTCGATCAAATATCGACATAGGGCATTATCATCAATATAATGGAATATCACCAATCATCGTGAATGGCCATAAATATCATCATCCACAGCATGCTCAGTTGCAATCGCAACACCAAATGCAACAGCATTTAATGAGACCAGTCTCTAGTTTCTATGAATACGAGACAATAAATCCCAATGGAAACTACCGTAAGATTGGCGATCACTTTAACCCGCTTCAGAATGGCAACAGTAGCAGTAGTAAGATCGGCAATGGAGTCAGTTCTGTTAGAATAACAGGGAGTAATGCACGAGCTCAAATTCCTAATATGAAATCGCAGCAACATCATCGCGGTCCATTCATCACGCAGGTAACATTCCCATAAAATTCATCACGTTAAACAAATGAAAGAAAACTTAAAATCTTTTTTCTAGGTACATATTCGTGATCAAAATGGCAAGCACCCGTCAGCATCTAAAGTTTGACTATAATATGCTCATTATGCTGCTTAGAGAGACTGGACATCAAAATCATTAAAATATCATCAAATCTAATTATTTCCATTTATTTTTTACATAAAACTTTTCATCGAAATTGCGTAAATTTTCCTTTTTTTCCTTTTATTTGTGAATAATTATCATCATAAAACTTAAAATATGTTATAAAGCTTAAGGAGTATATTTAAGAAAAAGAAAATTAAAAAAGAAAAAGTTTAAGGAAGACGTTTTGATTAAACAATAATCTGTGATCTGATAAGAAGAAGAAAGAAAACAATAACAAAAAAAAGAAGAAATTCAATTAACTTAGATGATTCGAATTGTCCCTGACGAATTAAAGTGAAATTAAAAAGAATTAATTATATTTTTACAAGGAAGAAAGTTTCGTGTCGTGTCGATTAATGTTTCATTTACTTACAATTTTTTTTATATTCTTTTGTGTCCTTAAAATAACTCGAACGACACGCGTTACCAATCTCAAGCCTTTTATGATCGATGATAAACTGCTCAAGGGTTTGTAATTATCTTCATTCCGCCTTAATCCAATAATAAATCAATTGTAAACGTAAATTGAAATTTGTTTTTATTTTTGAAAATCTTTCATTATTGCTTCATAAATAGCTTTGATACTTAAACCACCACCAAGAATAAATCCACAAAATGCAATAAGAAGAATGATGGAATTCTTTAGCCAACAACACCATCCAATACCTCCATAATTATTATGAAGCAGAATTAATTCAGCAATTGCAGGAAGCACAAAAGCGAGAACAGCGCAACAAACTGATCCAATCAAACTCAACAGCAAACTGAGATGAGGAATTCCTTGTGCAACAGTAAACGTAATAAGCACAACAAGCAAACGAAGGATCATCTCAGAAATTACAGGATGTCTTTCCACGCAATTTATGTTTTTATATATTGGAGCGAACATAATTTGAATGGCAACAAAGAATTGAATTCCGTAAGTCATGAGAACTGCAAGTGCTATCATCATCTTGATGACTTGTGCTAAACTGAAAAAAAAATCATTAAACGATTAACAAATAATTTACTTTTCAAATCTTACACATCATCGATTGGTAAGTTCAAAGTCAATGAAGCATTTGTTGACTCTCCATAATGCCAATAGCCAACAAATCCAATGAAAACAAAACAAATTGTCACAAGCACCATTCCAATATTGAGAACTCCAAGTGGTCTTGTAAAATTTTCAGGCTTATTCATCGCATTTTTTAGTGGCAAAACCAAAGCGATTCCTTCAAATGAGTACAAGACTGTGCCGAAAAAAAGCGGTAATCTCATATAATCAGCGATCAAATCACGATCAGAAATCGGAGGAAGATCAGTAGCAGCATAACCGATAGTAAGAAAAATTCCCAATATCATGAAAACATTTGCAATTGTTGAGATGATTGCTGAAAATTTAAATTATTTAAAAGAACTTTTTGCATTTATTGACGATTATTTTACCTAAAATTTTAAGCGTTCTTATGACAGCTGTTAATAAGATTGGCACCAATAGAATGACAATCCACAATTGAACGTCCAATTCATATCCATAGAAGTCGAAAACTTGCTTTAAATGTTCACCAACAAATAAAAAATAAACTGAACAATATCCAAGTTGAGTGAAGCAAATGAAAATATTGCAAATCGACTTCATTCTTGGTGCCCATTTCTTCCAACCATCATCTGTGCTGTTAGCGAAGCATAAATATAAAGTTTCAGCATAATCGGGACTAAATTCAAGGTTTTCTTGATCTCTTAAAATTTCTGCACAATTAAGCAAGACATGCTGAGCGTGAACATTGATTATAGCGATGATAATTGTTAGAACTGGCCCAAGAATCAGTCCACCGTTCTTTGTTGCTTCAGCCATTGCATAGCATCCAGTTCCAACATTTCCTTTAAAAAGATGCATCAAAGTTTCCATGTAAGAAGTTGGTGGTTGATCTGCATGAAGTTCTTCATAACCTTTGTACGATACTCGTATCTTATCCCTTTTGCTTAGCTTTGATTTTGGCGTGGTTGCTTTTTTCACTTCCATATTTATCAAGTTTTAAAGAAAAGTTACAAACAATTTTTCATGAATTGAGAAGTTGAATAAAATTTGGCATGGCAATTCATGATGATGATAAAATTTATCGTTTGGTCATTTTTCTGTTTATCTTTTTCAAGAGAAACAATCACTTTTCATAAAAGTCAATTGAAATTCTTTGAAATAAATTTGTTTATTAAAATTTATGAAAAGAAATTTAATATAAATTAATGATTTGTCTGATGCTTTCGTAGCCACCACTTGCAAAACCAACAAGTGCCATGAATAAAATAAATCCATTTTTCGCCATGAAAATTCCTGTCATAGATTTATTGTCGCGTGTTACCACCAAGTATTCGATCAAAACTGGGAAAAGTAAAGCTAAAGAGTTACTACATACTGCTCCAATTAAGCTTATCAGAAGTCCCAGATTGGGAACAACTAAAGCAACACCATAAGTAACGAGAACCATGAACGCTCTAAATATTATTTCACCAATCAGTGGATGATGTTTTGCTGGTTTGATAACTCTTTGAACCGATGGAAACATTATCTGCATAGGAATGAAAAATTGAATGGCATAACCGAGAATTACGCCAATGGAAAGAATCAGTAAGACTGCTTGTGCAAGCCATTCATCAGTTGGTAAGTTGAGTGTTAATGAACTCTCTGTCTCATCTCCATACTTCCAATAACCAAAGACACCGAGTGTCAAGAAGAGTGTTGTTTGCATTGCAACTCCGACATTAAGTGCTCCCAATGGTCTTGAGAAGTTTGAAGGTTTTTTCATCGAATTTTTCAAAGGCAATACAAGGCCAATACCTTCAAAAAGATAAATGACAGTTCCAAAAAACAATGGAAGCTTCGTCCAGGAAAACACTGCTTGACTTCTCTCAGATATGTCTGGAAGATCTTGGAAAACATAATACAATGTAATTCCAACTCCTGTCAACATGCAAACACTCGCCAACCCCGAGAACGGTGCTGTAAACAATGACACATTTTAGAAATATTTCTTTATCCTCCTTCACTTGAAGCACTTGAATTCATTTATGACTAAACGTAGGTAGCACTCACCAAGAAACTTGAGATTTGTTATCAACGCGGGAAGGCAAACGGGAATGAATGTCAACATTATCACAATTCTCACATTAAACTCGTAACCGAAATATATTAAAAAGTTTCTCATGTTATTCCCAATGAATAAAATATAAACAGAACAGAATCCAAGTTGAGTTAAAATCAGAAAAATGTTGACAATTCGTCTCATGACTACAGAATGTTTCTTCCATTTCACGTTAGCTTGCAAGCTCCATTCAAATGTTTGAGCATAATCTGGTCGTTGTTCCATGTTAAAATAACGTTTCACATTATTTGCACATTTCAATAAAACATGTTGTTCGTAAAGACAAACCAATGATAGAAAAATTGTCAAACAAATTCCCAAAGCAATGCCTGTGTTACTCATAGCTTCAGCGATTGCGAAGCAACCAGGCCCCACACCAGCTTTAAAAAAATGAATTAATGCTTCCAGGTAACTCGTCTTGTGTTTAATCTCCTTTACATGTTCTTTATTTTCTTCTTCAGACTCTTTTGAAGAACTATTAAACTCATTACTTGATTCCTTCATCTTCACCACCACTTTTAACAATGAAAAGATTTTCCTGCTTTTGAAACTCAACTTCAAATTAACTACAATCCCTTGTCTCATAATCACAAGCGATAACACTTTGTATTGATTGTTTTTATCGCAAAGAGCTCTTGTGAAAATTTGTTAGATATTTATTAAGATTGATTGTGTATCGGTCCACAACATCAATTAATGGAGTATTGGCTTAAGTCTAGGATAAAACAATTATTACAATCAATCTAAAGCTTGTTATTGAATGTCGATAGAAGTCATTTGATCTACGATAAGAATACCTCCCATAGTGAAAATAAAATGTAAAAATAGCTTTTGATTTTATTAAACATCTTATGAAGATAAATATTTACAATAAAATGATCAAAAAATTTATTTTTGTATGCGATTGTCGAAAGTCTTTTCTTTGTTTTCTTAGCAAAAGTAAGTTTTGATTATTCTTGATAGACTTTCATAACCGCCACTCCAAAATCCTATTAATGCTATGATAAGAATGATTGAGTTTTTTAATATCACAAACCATTTAATGCCATTTTCCTCGCAAGACAAAATTATGAATTCGACAATTGGTGGTAAAACAAGTGCAAGAACTGTGCTACAAACTGCACCAATCAGACTCAAAAGTAATCCAAGATTCGGGATAACTTGGGCAATCGCAAATGTAATCAGCACCATAAACGATCTGAAGAGAAGTTCACTGAACATAGGATGGCGATCAGCAAAAACGAAATTGTTCCTTATTGCTGGATACATAATTTGCATAGGAACGAAAAATTGAATGGCATATCCAAGCATAACTCCTGTAGCAATTGCAAGTTTTACACATTGTGCAAGTCTGTAATGGAAAAATAATTTAGTTGAATGTAAATTGATAACTTTTGAATAATTACAATTCATCTATGGGCAAATTTAAGCTCAGCGATGCTTCAGTTTCTTCACCATATTTCCAATATCCGACAGTTCCAAAAGATATAAGAATCGTACTTATGATGACCATTCCAACATTCAACACACCAAGGGGCCTCGAGAACTTTTCAGGTTTCTTCATAGCATTCTGAAGTGGCAACACCAGTGAAATGCCTTCGAAAGCAAAAAGTGCAGTTCCGAAGAAGAGTGGAAGTTGATTTATGTTTTCAGGTATAAAACGTCTCTCAGTGATTGGTGGTAAATCTTGAACTGAATAATAATATGAAATCACCAATCCCAAGATCATGCAGATGTTGGCAAAACCCGAACACGGTGCTAAAACATTTCAAAATTAAAATCAGAAACAATAACGAATATTTGGAGCTCACCAAGATACTTCAAGTTTGTAATCAAAGCTGACAGCCAAATTGGAATTAATGCGAATGCAAATAACAATGGAAGGTCGACATAAAAGTTATAGTAGTCTAAAATTTGTTTCACATTTGTTCCTACGAATAAATAATACACGCAACAGAATCCTAATTGAGTCACACAAATGATAACGTTGCATATAAACTTCATTGACGGTGCCAGCTTTCGCCATGTTTTGTTGGTACTGCTAAGAAAGCAAAGTTCAACAGTTTCAGCATAGTCCGGTCGGTTTGTCATTTGATATTTGTCTTTCATTTTCACAGAACAATTTATAAGCATATGCTGAGCATGAACACAAATAACTCCTAAAACGAGAATCAAGATTGGTCCCAATATGAGTCCACTGTTTTTGACAGCATCAGCCATTGCAAAACATCCCGTCCCCACATTCGCTTTGAAAAGATGCATCAAAGTTTCCATGTAAGTTGTCAATGGTTGGCCATTTGAAGTCTGAGATTCAATATCTTTTTTATTTTTAACATTTGTGATGCCTCCATTGATCGATGGTTTTTGATTGTCCATGTTTAAGTAGATTAGCAATCAAGTTGGTAGCTTAGCTGAAATCATTTTTAAAAGTATTATATTTGCATTCGTATGACGTGATATAAAAGCAGGTGACGATGAGAGTTGTTTACAACTGATCTTATTATCGAAACATGAGAATTAGATTTAAGCATCTGAAGTCGTGACTCAGAATTTTCTTCATTATCGTGTGACACAATATTGGATACTTCTATCATTCATTCTGCGATGTCACGATGTGCGAATGTTTAAATTAACGGACGTTAATCCAATTGATAAATACTATTTTCATCTCGAAATATATATTCTTGTTGTTACGAGAAAATTTAAGTTCAATAGCTTTTGCAAAGATGTATTAAAGATTTTTACGATTATTTCTTTTAAATTTAAGTTAAAGAGAAATTTCTACATTATTCCGAATAAAATTTATATTCGCATATTATTTTTAATTTATTCAAATTTGATGTGGGATAATAAAACTAAAATAATAATTAAAATGTCAATGCACTTCGTTACTTCCTCGATGTTTAGGAAGGAAAGTTTTCCGTTACTTGGAAAATCTAGGAATATTCTACGATGACCTTAAAACTGACAAAATTAACGATGTTTAGACATTAATTAAAATATGTGGAACATTTCGTTCCTTTTTTCGATTAATTTTCTTACGGAGATTTTTTATAATTTTTTTTCTAACTCCTGTTCAACGTAAGATTTACAAACGTAAACGGTCAACGTTCCTTGAACTTGCTGTTGAATATTGAATCACTTTTTATGAACAATTATTTAATGAATAAAATTCTCATTGTGATTCTCATTATGCATTCAAATTTCAACTTGATTTTATACAAAGTAGCAAGACAGGAAATAAAAACATGACCGGAAGGATAATTTAGAAACAAAAACAAATTTTCTTAAGTCAAGAATTTAATTTCAATTTCACTCATCGCAAAAAAATTATTAAAATTAAATTTATTTTGACCCAATTTATACTTTTAAATGAAAAACAAAAATTTCTTCGAGCTGTGGTTCTTCTATTTTTGTTTTATGAATGGAAAATTTTCAAAGTTAGAAGAAATAAAGGAAGGTTGGAAGACATTCAAAAAAGAATTAAAAGGTGAATGATAGAGTGGAGTGAAATATTCAATTGTGAATTATTTGTAGCACGACTCATATAATTTACTCATAGCTAAATATTTCCTTTTGTTTGGCAGTTCACTTCATAATTTCTTAGCGTAACTAATTCACCAATAACACCTCATTGAACATAAAAATCTTCAATTCTTAAAAAAGGAATACCTTAAAATCCTTCAGAAATGTTTTTTTATGGTAGATATTCACACAAAAAACTCTAAACATAACTTTGAAGCGTAACAAAAAAGGATAATTCATGTTTCAATGTAAAGTTGCAATTTCACAACATGGCCTTGGGAAGCGTCCTTGAACTTCTTGACAAACTCACCTTTAAATAACTTAAAAAAAAGTGTCTTGTATGTCTCTATGTGTAGGAATTTATATTTTAAAGTAAATTTGATGGAAATTTCTTTAAATTATCCTTTGTGCAAATTTTTAAACTTTTCCTTTCAAAATGTCGATGACTTTATTTTTTATTTTAAAGAGTTAAAAATAAAATGAAAATTTTTGATGTGATCCGTTCTTGTCGACGTTTAATGAGAGACTGACTGATAGACTTTTTACTTCTTTAAAAAATCTTACACTCAATATGAAGATTCAAAACAGAAAAGAAAGTAGAAAGAATCGTATCAGGCTATGAACGAAAACATGATCGCATGAAGAAAAGAAGAGATGCATGACAAAAATAACGAGAGGATGTTTCGGAGGTTTTCGTATTTGAATCTTTTCTTCATATTATCATTACAAACATCAAAATGTGCAAAATATTTTAAACACGTGTTTGAATGGTGAGAATTGTGATTGGTCGGAAAGTTTGATGAAAATCAAGTCACATGGTCGAATTGAGATATTGATTAAGTTCAAAAAGAGTTTAAGAATGAAACCTTGTCAAAAAAAATATCACGATTAATATGTGAAAAACGTTTTTAATCAAGTGTCGATGCAATTGAAATATTTTTATACAACTGACTAAAAATGTTGAACCATTACAATTATTATTCAAAATAGCTTTTAATTATTCTTGATAAGCTCTCATAACCACCTGTCCAAAATCCTAATAGCGCAATGATAAGAATAACTAAGTTCTTACTAATCACAATAAAACTAAGACCTTCGTCTTCATTTGCTAATAAAATAAATTCGATAAGAGGTGGCAAGACAAGTGCGATGACTGTGCTACAAACTGCACCAATCAAACTCAGAAGTAATCCAAGATTAGGAACGAGTTGTGCAATTATAAATGTAATCAGCACCATAAACGATCTGAAGAGAAGTTCACCGACGTAAGGATGGCGATCAGCAAAAGTGAATTTTTTTCTTATTGCTGGATACATAATTTGGATAGGAACAAAGAATTGAATGGCATATCCAAGCATAACTCCTGTAGCAATTGCAAGTTTTACACATTGTGCAAGTCTGTAATGGAAAAATAATTTAATTGAATGGAAATTGATAATAAATTTGAATTATTACATTTCGTCGGCAGGTAAATTTAAAGTCAATGAAGCTTCAGTTTTGTCGCCATACTTCCAATAACCAAATGCACCAAATGACATAAATATTGCAATGACAATGACCATTCCAACATTCAACACACCCAGAGATCTTGAAAAGTTTCGAGGTTTCTTCATAGCATTCTGAAGTGGCAACACCAGTGCGATTCCTTCGAATGCAAAGATTGCAGTTCCAAAGAACAGTGGAAGTTGATTGATATTCGGAGTTATGAGATTTCTTTCACTAATCGGTGGTAAATCTTGCACTGAGTAGAAATAACAAATGACCAATCCCAAAATCATACAAACATTTGCGATCCCCGAACAAGGTGCTAACATAAAATAAATCAAAATGAAATTTATTCAACAATTCAATCAAAACTTATCTCACCAAGATACTTCAAATTTGTTATCATTGCCGACAACCAAATCGGAATCAATGCGATTGTGATTAAAACAGGTAAGCTGAAGTAAAAATGATAGTGGTCTAAAACTTGTTTGATATTTGTACTTATGAACAAATAATATACGCAACAGAATCCTAATTGCGTTATACAAATGAATAGATTGCAGATCATTTTCATTTTTGTGGCATATTTTCGCCATCTCTTTTTGTTACTGCTGAGGAAACAAAGTTCGACAGTTTCAGCGTAGTCTGGTCTCCGTTCCAAGCCGTATTTGTCTCTCATTTTTACGGAACATTCTAAAAGAATATGTTGAGCATGAACACAAATGACGCCTAAAGCGACAATCAGGATTGGTCCCAATAAAAGTCCGCTGTTTTTGACAGCTTCAGCAAGAGCGAAGCATCCTGGTCCAACATTCCCTTTGAACAGATGAGTTAAAGTTTCCATATAGGAAGTTTGATGTTTTGGATTAATCTCATTTTCATTTATAAATTCGATGTTATCTTCTAATTTTGCATTCCGAAGTTCAGCTATTGGTTTCACATCCAATTTATCAACTTTGCCTTTCGACAAATCAAGGTTGAAATATTTAGTTTCTGATTTCCCAGAGTTTTCATTCTCAACAAGTCTCCCTTCCTCTTGCAGTTCTATTTTGTTCATTTTTTCATGAGTTTTTGGATTTGATGTCTTTTATTTTATCTAAATTGTGAGAAAAATTATTTAATATCAGTTTTTGAACTCGAATTATGAAATTTTTATAAATCAGAAATGTAAGGAATTTCACTTCTAGTGATAAGCCGCATTTTGTTTATATATCCAAGATATTTACATTATCTTCTTCTCACTTATCAGATCTTTTTGTTAGTTCATGAACAACAGTGATAATCAGGGCTTAAAAATGGATTTAATTTCAATGAATTGAAACAAATTTAAAATTCCGAAATGTAATTCAAAGTGAAAATTCTAGCACTCAATGAATATTGTCTTCAAATGTTCTTCTTACAAAATTCTTAATTCATATGCCACAGTTGTTCTTCACTTGAATAAACATAAAAAATGTTTTTTACAATAATTTTCATATAAGTTTTAAATAAGTTTCGTTTAATTTATATTCCAAATTTTAATCAATTTGTGGAGGAAAAAAAAATCAAAATACGTACTGAAACTGTGAACTTGTTTCGGAAGACTGATTTCTCTATCAGCTACTGTACTTAGTTTATACTGGGAAGTTTTAAGCCAATAGAGAATGATAAAGAGAATTAGTGTACTTACGGTTTTGCCTGCCAGTATGAAATCACGTTCTTTACTCAAGACAAGATCAAATTGAAATCTCCGCGTAGATAAATGTGTTTGATAGCAATAGTTACTCTTTTATCTCGAGAGTGCAACACTACCCTACTGATAAATTCAAATTTGAGTTCACATTTTAAATAATAAGAGAAGAATTCTTATTAAGTCTCAGTTTTGATATGAACGTTTCGGAGCAAAGTATAAGAAACATTCAAATCTTATTTAACGTTTTTTCGTCACGATGAAAAAAATATTTCAATTTTCATATAAAAAATATTTATAACACGTGTTTTAAATGAATTTTTCAAACATAATCCTTCAAGAAGATAAAAAAAAAGAATGTTTATTTCACTTACTGACATAGTTTATTAATAATACTTTATTTCTGGTATTAAATTTTATCTAATCGACATATGTTTTGATAATACGTGATAAACTTTCGTAGCCTCCTGTTATAACTCCAATAAGAGAAATAATGAGAATGGAATAGTTCTTAACTAGTAGTGTCCAAGTGACACCTTCTTCTTCATTAGACAATATAATAAATTCTATGATCGGTGGTAAAACAAGTGCCAAAGATGTGCTACATAGAGCTCCAATCAAACTCAATAATAAACTAAGATTAGGGACAAGTTGTGCTATTGCAAACGTTATTATCACCATAAATGACCTAAATAAAAGTTCGCCAATGTAAGGATGACGATCAGTGAATCTGAACTTTCTCATAATCGAAGGATACATAACATTGATAGCAATGTAAAATTGAATGGCATATCCCAACATAACTCCAAGAGCAATTGCTATCTTCACGCATTGTGCTAATCTATAATGAAAATAAATGATTATTGATTTGAACTTTCAATCGCTTTTTCTCTTCTTACATATCATCAGTCGGTAAATTAAGCGTCAATGAAGCTTGAGTATCGTCGCCATACTTCCAATACCCAACAGCTCCAAAAGATATGAAAATTGCAATAACATAAAACATTCCAACATTCAACACACCCAGAGGTTTCGAAAAGTTTCGTGGTTTCCTCATAGCATTTTGAAGTGGCAACACCAGTGCAATGCCTTCGAATGCAAAGATTGCAGTTCCAAAGAAAAGTGGGAGTTGTTTCATATTCGGTGGAATAAAATATCTTTCATTGATTGGTGGTAAATCTTGTGCTGAATAAAAGTAAGAAATCACCAACCCCAATACCATACAAACATTGGCGATTCCCGAACACGGCGCTAAAAATTATGTCAACATTTTATTAATCATTTTCACTTGCAATCCTCAACTCACCTAAAAACTTGAGATTTGTTATTAAAGCTGACAACCAAATTGGAATCAAAACTATTGTCATCATCATAGTGAGACTGACTTGGAAGTTGTAAAAATCCAAAACTTGCTTCAAATTAGTGCCAATAAACAAAAAATATATGCAACATATTCCAAGTTGAGTAATACAAATGAAAGTGTTACAAACAGTTTTCATCGTTGATGCGTATTTGCGATATTTTTCGTTGTTGCTACTCAAAAAACAAAGACCAACTGTTTCAGCATAATCTGGCTTACAAAGTAATTGATATTTATGCTTCATTTTCGCTGAACAATTAAGAAGGATATGCTGAGCATGCACACAAACAACACCGAAGAAGAGAATCAAAATTGGTCCCAATAACAGTCCACCGTTCATGACAGCGTCAGCCATTGCAAAACATCCTGGACCCATATTTCCTTTGAAAAGATGTGTCAAAGTCTCCATGTAAGATGTCATGTGTTGATCATTCTTACTTTCATGTGCTTCGAGATCAAATTTTCGTTTTGCAACTAAACTGTGAGCTGTGACATCAATTTTTCGAATTGACTTCCAATTATCATCATCGATGATTAGCTTTCTCTGTTCTTTCAGTTCCATTTTGTGCGATGTTAATTATTTCCTTGCGTTAGCTGCACGAAAGACATAAAAGTTTTTGTTATTTATTAAACTATATTTAGAATCTTCTCAATGAAAGAATCAAAAATCAGTCATTAAAGTCAAGGTTACTCATTTTATTTTCGTTGAACATGATAAATTTTAGTTTCTAAGATATCAGCTGATTATATTCAATGAATTCAACAAGAAGAAAACTTAGTTATATATTCAGAGCTGGGTATGGAATGACAAACTGAAATTTTATGACTGAAACTTTTTAATCAATTTTAGTAGTTTAAAGTTTGAATGTTTATGATCGTCAATTCAAAAAACTGCAACGCCCAACTCTGACTTATATCTAACTGTTATTGACAGAATTTATTTTATTTTTGTTGCCAAAACGCATACAGATAAGAAACGCGAAAAATATGGAGAATCGATGATTAAACTGCTTCAATTAGCACAATATTTATTGTACGTCAAATATCTATAAATGGCGCAAGATAAGTCACGATTTATAAACTCAGATTTGCTACCTCACTTTTAAGAGTTCTTTTCGTTCTCAAAGACAATGAGAATAAGTTTAGAAACCATAAAAAAATTGACTACTGATCGATTCAATCGATATTTACTGCTTCAATACGTTTAGTGACTGACATTCCCTTTTTCTACAAAGTTTTCTAATAAATTGTTAGGTCATGGTTTGTATTGCAAACGATATCTTTTAACTTTATTCGCAACATTATTGATAAGAATTTATCGCAACAAGAGTTAATTGTTTAATTATCTTTCATGTGACCTTTTTTCGATGAAAAAATATTGTCAAGATTCTTTTATGGAAGGTTTTTATTGAAACTTTACTTAATACTTTTGATATTTATAATTTATAATGGGAATAAATATTCCTTACATAAGTTTTTTTTTTACTTTTGAAATTGCTTTTCAAGCAATATTTTTTGTTGACTGTTATTCTGTTTTGTAGATTCAATTCAAAGCATTCTTTCCTTTGAAAAACGAATGACATAACTTCACCGACCAAGTTAACTTCCTCTACACGACTGACAAGAGCTTCGCAAAACAAATAAAATACAGAAAAAAGAAACAAAATTTGTTGTTCTCTCATTTTTCGTTAAGTTCTCAACTTCATACTCTGAAAAAATGTTTTGATAAGAAGTGAAGTGAGAATGCCATGTGCTTTATGTATTTTTGACTCGTGGAAAAAAATGAAGTATTGCAAATATTAGATAATGATAAAAAATAATTAATAATATTTAGTACGAGGGACAGAACTCTTGTAAAAAGAGCATTGCATGATAAGCACACTTTTTATCAAAACTTCCCCTGCTTGTCATAATAAATGGGAAGAGATAAAAATTTACGACTTCTGTCTGTAATTGGTAATATTTTTATTTTAACAATGTATTATTATTGCAAGATACACATTATCAATGTTTTTTACAGAACGTCGCAATAAAATTTCATTGGTAATGTTTGTGAAGAAACATGGGAAAAGTTGATCACTGATCAGTGATTTATGACGAGTGGCGTCCTAATGAACACCAATTAATTTAAAGAGTGGTTGACGAGGTTGATTAAAAAACAGTTGAGTTATTATAAGATAAATCCTTCATTTTATTGATTTAATACTTCTTCAAGATAATAAATAGATATTTAATCTTCCTAAAGTATAAAAAGTCGTTTTTAGTTTTAGATATTTCTATGTTAGTTTTAATACAGTCTATCTAGTGTCATTCAGAATAAATTTCTATTATTCTGGTTAAACTTTCGTAACCACCTGTTAAAAATCCCAAAAAGGCAATTATAAGAATTGATGAATTCTTTAATATCACAATCCAGCCAACTCCGTTTTCGTCGTTACTGTTAAGAATAATTTCTATGATTGGTGGTAGGACAAGTGCAAGAACTGTACTGCAAACTGAACCAAATAAACTCAACAATAAACTTAAGTTTGGTACGAGTTGTGCAATAGCGAATGTGATCAAAACCATAAAAGATCTGAAGAGAAGTTCACCGAAGAAAGGATGATGACTTGCAAATGGTATTGTACTTCTTATTGAAGGATACATCACTTGAATCGCAACAAAAAATTGAATGGCATATCCAAGCATCACTCCGCTAGCGATTGCCACCTTCACGCATTGTGCCAATCTGTAATGAAGCGAAAAATTATAAAAATGTTTGTCATATTCATCAGCAATCAAGTGTTTTGTTTCGCATACATTTCGTCAGTTGGTAAATTTAAAGTCAACGAGGCTTCAGTATCGTCTCCGTATTTCCAATATCCAACAAATCCAAACGTAATGAAAATCGTAGTAACAATGGACATTCCAACATTTAATACTCCCAGAGGTTTTGAAAAATTTCTTTGTTTCTTCATAGCATTTTGAAGTGGCAATACCAGTGCGATTCCTTCAAATGCAAAGATGGCAGTTCCGAAAAAGAGTGGAAGTCGATTGATGCTCGGTGGAAGAAAATGTCTGTCAGTGATTGGTGGTAAATTTTGAACTGAATAGTAATAAGATATCACCAAGCCAGTGATCATACAAAGATTGGCAATTCCCGAGCATGGAGCTAATAAAACAAATATTAAAAATGTTACAATGTAATCACTTGCTATCTGCAACAATCAAGGATACTCACCTAGGTACTTGAGATTTGTAATTAAAGCTGATAGCCACATTGGGATCAGAATAAAGCTCATAAGTACTGGAAGATCTATGACGAGTCCATAATGATCTAGAACTTGTTTCATATTAGTTGTGATGAATAAATAATATATGCAACAAATCCCAAGTTGAGTTATGCAAATGAAAATGTTACAAAGTTTCTTCATATATGGAGCCCATTTACGCCATCGCTCGTTGTTGCTGTTTAAAAAACAAAGTTCGACTGTTTCAGCGTAGTCTGGTTTGGACGACATTTGATATTGAATCCTCATCTTGGATGAGCAATTAAGTAGAATATGCTGAGCATGAACACAAATGATGCCAAGAACAAGAGTCAAAACTGGTCCCAATATCAGCCCACCATTCATAGCAGCATCAGCCATTGCAAAGCATCCTGGACCGACATTTCCCTTGAACAAATGTGTCAATGTTTCAAAGTAATTTGTCCGGGGAGGTTGATTCGGAATTATGTTGTCAACTTCGCCTTTTTCTTTTGAAATATCACTTTCAGTAGAATTTCTGATTTTTATCACATCAGGATGTACACTATCAAAGATCTTATCTTGCGAAGTCCGATAGTTTTCATTCACGATAATATTACTCCCACTTACAGTCTCCATTCTGACTGGATTTTTGTTTATCACTTTGTTCCGATATATTTTTTGTTGACTCAATAGCTTTTGATTAATTTTTAAAAATAAACTAGTTGAGTTTAAGAATTTTGCGCAGTCAATATTTCAGATATTTATATTTTTTTGAGAGCAACAAAATATTTGTGCCTAAATATATATTTGAAGGAGCTTTTTGCCAATCTGAAAGGAAGAAAAAGAAGAGAAAGAAAAAATCAATAAATGCGATGCTAAAATTTTGTAAACAAAAAATCATCGTGAAATGGAAAGTAAGTAATTTATGTTAAGGGAATTTATTGTTTTTGTATATTTCAAGTTCTCTCTTTCTTCTATGTTTTGTTGAACTCTCTTTTCTCTTCTAACTAAATTTAGAATTACAAAATTATCTTTCTGCAAATACTTTGAATTTAGAAAAGTTAGTTTTTTTCCGGAAAAAATGAATTTTTTATGGCCTACTCTTAATCTTATCATATTTAGATAACTTTTCTCTTAATAGAACAATTTAAAAGCTATTATAAAATGATTCAATCTTATCACTGCTGTTATCGATAAGGAAGTAATAATTATTTGTCACATTTTACACGTCACAGATCTTATCTCACTGAATATGAAAATGGAAACATAAAAACTTTTTCTTTGCTTTCTGAACTTGACCTATTTCCTGCGCATCACACATAAAGTTGCCACACGTCACTCCGTCTCTTTACTTTGTGCTGAACGAAGCAATGGAAAATTCCAAGAGTGGTTACGAATAAGACTAAAAAGGTCAACGTTCGTGAAGCATCATAAAATTAATACGGTTGAGATTTCAAGGCAGCAAAATATACAATTATGTTGCATATGTCAATATACTATTAAATATTATTAATTATATTCAGGAAATTATATATATTTAGAACTATGAATGTTCATTTAATTCCTCATTGATTTGATCTACGCTTCAATGTAAAACACGTAACTACCTCGAATTCACTATTTTATTTTTGCAGGTGATAGTCGAAACAAATTATCGGTATTATAGCAATTAAAGACTCCAATACTAATACTGTGCAAAGTCTTGCTTACTTTTGAATGTTTTTAGAGTTTTGAAGTCTATTATTATAAACTTCATTATTGTAGTAAACACGAGAAGAAATTATTTAGATAAGTTTTATTAACTCCAATTCACATTTATTTACTTAAAAAATATTTCCAAATCTTTATAATTATTTTGCTAGTCTCAATTAGGCTCTTTTATTGGTTTATAACCCGATTATTTAACCGATTATATTTCATGATTTCATTCTTTTTTAAAAAGAAGAAGAAAAATGACGTTAATATTGGTTTTCACGAGACAAAAATAAAAAGAAAAAATGTCGCACTTAACGCTATTACCCTTCCGAACTAGCTAGTTTGTGTCGCAAGACTGTTTCTTTTTTTATTTTTTAAAAAAAAGTTTCAGACAGTCTCTCAAGTAGTCACGTTTTGTACATTTGATGAATAATTGAGAAATCAAGCTGAGTATCAAAGGAAATATAAGAGAAAATAAGTGGCGAGTATTACGATGATCAAGAGATTTGCTGCTTTGAAATGAGAATTTGCCTGAAAATTTTATATATTTTTGAGAGAGCAGTCAGCTGAAGTTCTTTTCTTTTCAATAACAATCAATTCAGAATTGCGAAATGAGTAGATATTTATGTATATTTGTGTATATTTATGAGTAGCAAAAATATGTTTTCAAAATTCTTTATTTTGATTTCTCACGCACATTTATCATCTGGACACTTTAGTTTTTGGCATGAATTTCACAAAACCCAAAGTATTTTTATCTTTCTCAGTGATTAATTTTTCTTGCAAAAACTACCTAGAAACAAAATAATTTTTTTAAAAATTCTTCTTGGTCTACTTGGAATATGATATTTTGTAACGGTTTTTTAAATTTTAAATTATACGTGGGAAAGCTTTCCGTGAGCTTTCACTGGAAGCGCATCGTATGGGAAATATTAGAAGCATTGGAAATTTATTTATTTTATTTACTCGTAAAAAATTTCCATGATTTTCATGAAAGTTTTCCTTTTCTGAGAGAATTTTCCTGAGTATTGGTTTTCGAATGCGGTTTTCTATAAACTTGTGTAAGTTCATAAGAGAAATTTCGTGAATTCTACAACCACCATTAGAGCTTTACTTGTGAAAATCACGCATTTTCTTATAAAAATTTAGAAAATATTTATTCTCTTGCTGGACTTGCAGCTCAGTGTATCACGCAGTAAATATTCATAAAGGATTTTTACCTGTGAAATAAAGAAAAATAGCAAAAAATAAAACTTTTTGTCGTGTTGAGATGTGTCAAATACATCGTAATCCTTTTATTCTTTGAATATATCTGATTAAAGTTGCATTGCAGTGCTAAGAGAAAAATTTTTAAGTCGCATAAAATCAAAATTCGCGAAAGCAACTTCAAATGAAAAATATGACGAACACCAAGGTGAACATATTGTTTTAATTTAAATATAAATAGTGTTCATACAAAACTTTAATTGAGGCAACGATTGAATTAAAAGCAAATAAGTGGCAAAAAAAAAGTTTTCACTTGGCAAAATAGAGTTTAGAGAAAACCAGCTGAAAGTATAAATAAAATACTTTATGATTTTTCTTTCTCACCTCTCCAAGCTTAAATTTTTCGCTTTTTTTCCTTCGTTTCTACTGTTGCTTAAAGAAAAATGTACATT